CAAAGCCTTCGCGTCCGTACCTTTAACACTGCACGCAGCCTGTGCGAGACTGTTTTCGATGGAGGGCTGTTGTATTCCGTAGTGATGGGTGTACACAAAATTACACAACACATTGGGAGTGATCGCTCCCGCACAGTCGGAGGTCGGAACACACCGCGAACTTCGGTGGCAGCTTTCGGGGCAGCCTCGCGCAAGCGATGAAGAGTAGCTTCACAGCGTCGTACACGCACATAAAACACTGCTCACAGTCAGATGCTCCAATCGGCTTGCTTCTTTCCACGCTGGAATACTTCCAGCCACGTTTGGCGAGTGCACGAATCCCCCGAGCTCTCTGCCTTTTCGCCTTCATTGTGAGTCGAAAATAAAAAAAAACAGCGAAAACATGTCCTAACCGGAAAAGGGCGAACGTCACGTCCGGACGCTCGCTGATTGGCTCAAGCGCGCGCGTCGAGGGAGAAATTGGGTTCCGAGGCGTCGTCTCCCTGCGTCGTCCTCCTCGGCGCGCGACTTTTTTCAATACAAAAATAAGCAAAAAATTCCCCCCCACGACGCGCGTCTTTTCGCTGTGTGAATGCGCCTTAACTCACTCGCACACACCGCATAAGTGTAGCTTTAATGGCTTTCTTAAAACAAATCTTTAAGAATAAAAAAAAAAAAAAAATTGTGTTTTTTATATTCTTTCAGATTTGTGTAAAAAAAGCCACGAAAGCTACACTTATGCGGTCTGTGCAGGTGAGTTATACGTTATACGAGTTATACGGCCAGGGGGACATAGTACAGGGTGAAACAATGAGACGGCAGGCTCTTCAAATCGACCGGAAAATTCGGTTTCTTAACCTATCGCGCTACGACTTTGTGCAGCGTTGCCCACAGATGGTGCTTTTTTTTTTTTTTTTTTGTAAAATTTGCGAAGAGCGAACTTACCTGAGGAAAAGGTAAAGAAAGAAAAAGGCTTAGCTCCTATGGAAACGCAGCGACGCTACCGGTCTGCAAACAACACGGCGCCGTTTCGCACGGGAGACAAGAGATGGCGCAACAAACGCCGCCAACGAACGAGCATACGGCGCCGAGAGCAGGCCTTTTTAGCAGACAATCTTTTCGACTCAAAAGCGGCGCGCGTTCCGCAGGCGGCGACAGTCGCAGAAACAAAAACAGGCGCGGTAACAGCAAGGAACTGCAGTTCCTTGTCTGCTAAAGGGCCGGCTCTCGGCGTCGTCTGCTCGTTCGTTGGCGGCAGTTGGCGTCGCGACCGCTTGCGCCATCTCTTGTCTCTTCTGTGCGAAACGGCGCCGTGTTGTTTGCAGACCGGTGGCGTTGTTGCGTTTCCATACAAGCTAAGCCTTTTTCTTTCTTTACTTTTTCTTCAGGTAAGTTCGCTCTTTGCAAATTTTACAAAACAAAAATGCACCATCTGTGGGCAACGCTGCACAAAGTCGTAGCGCGATAGGTTAAGAAACCGAATTTTCCGGTCGATTTAAAGAGCCTGCCGTCTCCTTGTTTCACCCTGTATAAAGAGATAGTCGCAACTATCAGTCGGATAATTAAGTAAAATTTGTGAATTAAATTTTTAATTAGTGTAAATAGACATATAGTTCCAATTAGAAACTTGCTGAGCATCATTGAAAACCACTAAATCAACCCTTTTCAGAAGGATATAACGCCGGAGCAGCATTTTACGGCGTTCTGTAAAAACGCTACATTTGGACGCGTTTCTAGATTTCGGGCTCTTATCGGAGCGCATCTTCGCGCCCGCGGTCCTGCTTCCCGGTGCTGAGACATGCAACACACGTGCGCCCCACTTCCCTCCATTCTACGATTGAGGCGAGGAGGTAGGTGGCTTCGCGCCGCGACCACCGGGGAGCAGGATCGCGGGCGCGTAGTTGCGCTCCGATAAGAAACCGAAATCTAGAAACGCGTCCAACTAAAGCCTTTTTACAAAACCCTGTAAAATGCTTCCCGGCGTTATATCCTTCTAAAAAGAGTTGATTTAGTTGTTTTCGATGATGCTCAGCAAGTTTCTGATTGGAACTCTATGTCTATTTGCACTAATTAATAAGTTAATTAACAGATTTTACTTAATTAGCCGACTGATAGTTGCGAGTATCTCCCTATACTGTGCTCCCCTGACCGTATAACTCACCTGCACAAACCGCATAAGTGTAGCTTTCACGTTTTTGTTTAAACAAATCTGAAAGCATGAAAAAAACACACCCTGTATAGATACATGTATTTTTTTCTTTATTTTTCGCAGTGGACTATAACTGCTTTGTGCCTTTTTTCCACAGCTCCTGAAAAAAGTGCCTAAGGAACGGGTAACCTTGGATGAAGTTATGGCTCACCCATGGGCCGTGGACAACGCTGACACGACTGTCGAAGCATCAAGCCTCTGAACAAAGTCTCGGTAGTGCGAGAGGTTTGTGAGCAAAGCATGTTGCAGACTTTGCAACTCATTTGTTCATCATTGCATCAGACAACTTGCTACCCAGGCCGAGTAGGACATTTCTTTAATTATCAGCCCCGTTAAAGTACTCATAAGCAGCATTTCACAATCTTGGCCGTAGGAAATAAACTATTTCTTTATATGGATATTTGGGTACGGAGTACACAAGAAATGATAAAGTAGTGACTACTTCAAGTTGGTTAAGAAACTTGAACTTTACTTAAAATATTTATCTGGTACTTTCTGAGGGAAGTACACCTCCCGGCTCCAAACTGCATTCCCCAAATTTGATCTTGTTAAATTTGTATAACAAATTAATGCTTTGTCAACTCTAAAGCAGTACTGGGAGGGAAATTCTACTCTCACCAAAAAACGCGAGCAACGACGCATTGCTCATCTGGTAATTTCTCTCTGTTAAATAGTTCTCCAGCGAGAGTAAAACAACTACTCTGTGGCCCTCTTACATGATCCGAGATTTGCCGCCATTTCCAAAAATAACTGATTGATCCCCAATTAACCCTGCGTACCGGTTTAAAAACGAAAAAAAAATAAAAAAATAAAACAGTGCGTTTTCGCGCATGTTAAAGGGACACTGTCAGGGTATTTATGCTTGCCAAGGTTTCCATTCGTACATGACATATGAGAGCCCAAATACCCAGAACAAAATTTGCGGCTCAAAATTCGTTGTCTTTCTGTCCGAAAACCGCCGATCAAGAACAGACCGATTTGAGTCGCGCTCGTTCTCTTCTCCGTTGTCTCGTGCCGTTTACTATGGTTTAGACACAGCCACAAATATAATCTAAGTCGTGGGTCATCGAAGGCACACACTCACTGCTAATAAATAGACAAAACATATTAGACCCATTTTTGTGGCTTCTAAAAAGCTGCACATACGTTGATTGAAAAAAAGGCTCGAGGTACACCTGAGCGCTTCTTACGAGTTGTGAACGCGAAAGCATGCATGTCGTTCTTGTGCGCGTTCTCGTGAAGTGGCCGCGCCGCGCTCCGGAGTATGCTCGAGCGGGCTCTCTCTGGGAGTCAAACGCATCCTTTTCCCGGCGCGCTCTGGCGCGGCTTTATGTAGCGCGGGCATGTAGCGCTAGGGGTGGCCTCCTTGAAACTAACGTGCCTCAGCAGTGGGAGCCTCGTTGGCCTCGTTCCTTGTAACTATGACGCGCGCCAGCCAATGGGAGCCCTATCCATGAGATTTCGGCTTCACTTGGAGAGGTGAATTTATTTTCCGTTTGGCTCTGCTTTTTGCGCGGCTTCAGAGCTGGGATGCCTCAGATCGCGGGTTCACTTCGCTCCATTGGGAGAGGGGAATTTATTTGTCGTTTGGCGTGGCAGCTGATGACGTCAGCTCGCCACATAAAACAGTTAATGCTTTTGCATAAAAAAAAAAGTAGCTCAGCCACCTGACTTCCGGTAAGCTTCTTCTTCATCCCCAATCCAGTTTCGGTTTCCAGCAGTTGCGTTTTTTGACTTTATTAAAAATATACGTGGCGCTGCAGCCAGCAAAATATTGACTGGGTACTCTCCTGACAGCCTGGCAAAACATAATTTGTTTTTTTTTTGTTTTTTTTTGGGGGGGGGGGGGGGGGGGGGGGCGGGGTGTCAGTGCGCGTAGGCGCACGGACGGGCCACTACGTTGTTTCGAACAGTTTTGCACAGCACAATGTCGTGGCATAACTTTTAGGTTGTTTCACACCCGGCGAATGCCGCACACTCTAGGTTAGGTGGCCGCTGCATCGCCGCGTTCACCGCCGAACCCACAAGTCAGCAAAGCAAAATGAAACATTTGGTTTTTCTTCGACAATCACAACTCTGTAAAGGCTGGTTCACACACTTGCCACTGCTTACGACCTCGGAAGCATAAAACCGGTTTTAAGTCTTCCGGTCATAAGCAGACGCAAGTGTATGAATCCTCCCCTCCCCTTCCCCCCTCCCCTCCCCTTCCTTCCCCCCCCCCCCCCCCAAACACACATAACACACTTGATTTTAGCTTAAAAGTATCTTTTTCTTTTCTGGTACTTTCGGGTGGAAGTACACCTCCCGGCTTCAAACCACATTCCCCGAATCCGATTTTGTTAAACTTGTATGACGAAATAATTTTGTCATACAAGTTTAACGAAATCGAATTCGGGGAATGTGGTTTAAAGCCGGGAGGTGGACGACGCATTGCTCATCTGGTAATATGTCTAAAGGTTATAACTTATAAGCCCCCCCCCCCCCCCCCCCCCCCCCCCACCCCCCGCTCCACCACCACCACCCCTTTGATGTCCTCCATCCTAAAAACGGATTTTCTCTTAAAATACCTTCATTATTCGCTCTTATTGGGAGACATCTTCGAAGGGTTTTCAAATTCTAATTACCTGCCGCGTTTTTGGATCCCTTGCGTTGTGTCAAAACCTAGTCCAAGGAAGCAGCTAGAGAGCAGCTAGTTTAGAATGTATTCTCCCTCGGGCTTAGCACAACCACCTGTCTATCCAAGGGAACGACTTAGATATATGTTAAGCATATTTAAGGCACCAAAATTATCGTATATAAATCTAAGCAACGATTCATCAACCTAATAATTTTATACAGTTGTTAAATTTGTAAAGGCTTCAGAGGTCGACGAGGAACGGCGTTCTTGCTGGTAGTCCCTCAAGATATGTAGAACATAGTGAGGTCTCCTCTTCGCCAGCAGCGAAATGTCTGTAGTGGAAAAAATGGTATTATTGTCAAAACATTTGGTATTGAAGCTGAGACAATTAGGGAACATCACTCTCAGAAAAAAAGAATTACCCTTAATGACGAAGCCGGAATCTTTTATTGTCATTATCTGGTTTTTCCAAGATAAGTACAGAAGCAAAAATGTACCAGCATAAAAACTCATTTACAACATCTATGACGCTCTCTCTGCCATTGCAGCACCTGAAAAAAAAAAAAAAAAAAGATTATAGTGACTTTATTAAAGGGGTACGGAAACGAAATGCTAGTGCCTATTTTATTGTTTAAATGCTGACTATGCTGTGGCAACACCACAAATACAGGGGAATTCGGTGGCCGAGTGGGCTGGCACACACCACACACCAGCACTGAGCACGTGGAGCAAAAGCTCGCGCTGCAGAATCCAGGGATCCTGGGTTCAATCCCCACCCATGCCCCTTTCGATCCGGACGAGCATCGCACCGGCATGGGGTCGTGTATCACTTCTGCGTGGTACATGTTAGAGACCCCAGGCTAGCGGTTGCACTGCACTCGGCAAATATCTCATAAACATACACACAACACAATAAAATTACTAAATACACCAATGTTTTGTTAAGAAAAAAAGTGGAAGCCGTTTACCACTCCCTGTAACGCCGAATTGGAGCGCAGCTCTTGAGGAGGAGGAGGGGAGGGTACTGAGGGCCACGTGTTCTCGGGGGGGGGTCACGTGACCTCGGTGTCACGTGCCCCTCAGAGGTCACGTGACCTCGGGAGGGGGTCACGTGACTCCCCAGGTCACGTGACCCCCGGGTCACGTGACCAAAATTTTTTCCGCTAGATTTAGCGGGGAAATTTTTTCCGCTAGATTTAGCGGGGAAAGTTTTCCGCTAGATTTAGCGGGGAAATTTTTTTCCGCTAGATTTAGCGGGGAAATTTTTTCCGCTAGATTTAGCGGGGAAATTTTCCCGCTAGATTTAGCGGGGGAAATTTTTTCCGCTAGATTTAGCGGGGAAAGTTTTCCGCTAGATTTAGCGGGGAAATTTTTTCCGCTACATTTAGCGGGGAAATTTTTTCCGCTAGGATTTAGCGGGGAAAGTTTTCCGCTAGATTTAGCGGGAAAAATTTTTTCCGCTAGATTTGACGGGGAAATTTTCCCGCTAGATTTAGCGGGGAAATTTTTCCGCTAGATTTAGCGGGGAAATTTTTTCCGCTAGATTTAGCGGGGAAAGTTTTCCGCTAGATTTAGCGGGAAAATTTTTTTCCGCTAGATTTGACGGGGAAATTTTTCCGCCAGATTTAGCGGGGAAATTTTTTCCGCTAGATTTAGCGGGGAAATTTTTTCCGCTAGATTTAGCGGGGAAATTTTTCCGCTAGATTTAGCGGGGAAATTTTTTCCGCTAGATTTAGCGGGGAAATTTACCCATAATGCACCGCGCGGTTACGCCGACGGCGACGGCAACGGCGACGGCGACGGCGACGCCGCTCAAGCCGGGAACGGGCCCCTAAGAGCTGCGCTCTAAAAAACACAAAATTATTTAGAACAAATGAAACGATTGCCAAATTGCACCCGTGCATGAGAATTCAACTCCTGTGGTGGGAAATAATAGAAAGGAAGACGGGGAGATGGTGTGCGAGCGAGAGGAGGGGGGAGAGGGGAAGGAGGAAGAGGTCAGTGGAGCTTTGGGACACAGGGGAATCACTTCGACTTCGCTCGCGCCGCCTAACAAAGACCTTGGGTATCCCGAACGGCTAGGTTGTAACGTGTTGATGATACCAAGTGGCGAAGCTCATAACCACCACAAGCTCGCCGTAGGCTTGCCTGCGCTGCTGAGAAAGTTGACGTCAAGAATATGCCGAATCTCCTAAGCCGCATTGCGCTCATCGATGGCATGCTTTTCGAGCGCTTGCCTGAATCGGAAGTTTATAACAAAAAATATAGCCATTCGTTCAAAATACAAACGTGTGATTGTCATTTAGAGATAGCGTTGATAATTTAACTAATTTCTGAACGTGAAACATATTTTAATTTCAATAACCCTTGAAGGGGGCAGTAACGTGGATTTCGAGATCGTCGTTTTTATGGCGCACATTAAACCTACGCGCCCATCCTAGAAAACCTAAAATTATAATCATGCGTGTACACCCCTTTTCTGGGCCGTATAAAAGAATGGGGTGAGTCGCGATGTTTTTTCCTGTTTTTAATTGTAAAAAAGGCCACGCATGATTGTAATATCTTGTGTTTTCTTAGAGTGAGTTTGAGCAAAAAAAAAATAAATAAATAAAACATTTATTAATGAAGTCCAACTTTTCTAATAATTTTGTTTATGCTGGCCTTACTTGTTCAGTGTTTCCTCTCTCAAGGCTTCAAGGGAGATCTTCGTAATGTTGAGACTCATCACAGCAAATGGAAAATTCTATAAATGGAACAATATTGATAAAGCGAGTTTGAAAATAATCATAGCGTGGTCTTTTTTCTTCTTGTTATAACCATGAGATTGAAATAGAAACTAATAATGTCCAACAGACCAAGGATTTCACATACCTGAAAACTGTCACGAGACAATTTATAAATGTCGTTTACAAGTTCAACGTTTTCCAGACCAATCGTCAGAAAGAGCAGTTGCAAGAGTCCCAACAATCCAACACCTCTCAAATCAGTGGCTGGATCTGTTCCTGCGCAGTTTCAAATTCTCAACTATTGACACTTCAGTGATCTTTGGGTATAAAGCGGAATGAAAGCATAACCTCGGCGAACTACCTTGAAATCCTATATTTTCCCAGTGGTTGCCATACCTAGGGCAATCGTACATGGCATTCGTGAGTTTTCGGTAGATTGTTTGCAAAGCTTCGAGATGTACCATGTCATCATTGTCAAAAGGACCTAGAAAGAACCAATGTTGGACAAGATGCTCGACAAAAATATTTCGGATGAGTGACGAAAAACCTGCTTCATGAAGTATTTAGAGTACTACTCAAGTTACTTTCCCTGCAAAATATCCTGTGTAGAGTATAATTAATTCATGTACCTTTAAAAATAATTATTTTTAACATACTGCCAGCGGTGAGGCCAAAACAGGCTGGTTGGCATTTTAAAAAAGTACAAGCACACTTAAGTATTAAAATGCTATAAATAAAACCACACACATTTTGTTTATTTACGGCGTCCGTGGTTAGACAGTTCCAATGACAGATACATTTAACAAAAAGTTTTTAAAATCCGTATTAAAGCGACAAGGTACAATACATTTGTTATGTTTCGTTCTGGTTGCATTATTGAGGTTTGCTCATATAACACATTTCTGAATCAGTAAGTAATGAGCACGCAGCAATGAAAAAAAAATTTAATTCCAGTCAACATTATCCTGGTACTTATGGGCAGAAGGTTCGCATCGGACTTCAGTAGGGAGGCACTTATGCATTGCGTAATTTTTATCGTCTTCAGTAACACCAGTATTCTAGATTTACCAGCAACAGAAGACAAACAAAATCGCAATGTTATTTTAGACAGTCCCAGTAGAAAAAGTAGCCGCATCACACAGGGCATGTTACAAAAAAAGAAAAAAAAAAGAAAAAAAGAGGTCACTCGATGTTTAATCACATCGCAGGAAATCGCATCCTGTGGTGATTTTAGAATGCGCACAATGAACACATCATTTTACTAATCCCACGAAGCCCTGCTGACTTTCTCCCAGTTATCTATTTCTTTACTTGTCCCTCAAACTAAGAAGCGCGTTCAGAAAGGCCTACAACCTGGGGAGAACTTTTCGTACTTTGAGAGCTCATCCTGCTCCCATAGCTTGTTACCTACCTTACTGTAACAATCTCTATCCTCATGACAGGTTAGAGTTATCCCAGTTTCCCCCCAGACAGTGTTATTGAAAGTGCCAGGCTGGCGAAAGAAGCATTCTTGTCGTAACAATGTCAAAAAAAAAAAAAAATGGTGTTTTCTCATTTTCTTTTATTTGCTCTTCTGTTGGCGTTTTGAGCCTGTTTCTTTGGTCCTGGTTTGTTTCCTGTTTTGTGCTCGGTCGTTTCCGCTTCTAGCTTGCAATCAGCTCAAATTTGCGCTGGGGTGTGCTGATTCCCTTTCCCGCGAAATATTCCCGCGACAAATGATTTCAAAGAGTGGAAACTGTACTTGAGATAATAAGTACAATATATTCAGAAATGTAATTAAGATAAAGTAGCAAATACTCTCGATCAGATGTATTTGCAAAATACCAAATTACTACCAAAAGTATCTGAAACGCAGTATCTTGAGTATAGTATTTGAGATCTGCACAGGTCTGAAAAGAACCAAACCCAACAGTTTGGGAAAGAGTAGTACAGAAGGGTATTGTTTCAGAACTGATAAATCGACTCACACTGCGCCAGAGCAAGTACGAAGTCTCTTTCTGGAACTAAAGGTAGCTTAAGCCGTGGTGGGCCGAGTAACCAGTGCAAAAGCAGTTTGATTCCACGCCGATGAGAAACAGATATGTTGGACTGAAAATAAAAACGGAAAGTCGTAGTTGCACTAGTTGTATCCATCAGTTGCGCGCTCATGGGGACAAAACTTAGTTAAACTATGGTGGACTCACCATGTAAGAACTCAAATCTTTCTCCTTAAAATGGCAAAGTGCTTCGCTGTAGGTAATAATCCGGGAACAGTAGTGTATGGTATTGACACCTATGATATAAACGCATTCCATAGTGGGCTTCAAACGAAACAAGCAGACGCCACGCGATTGATTGTTCTTACCTGTCTCTTTTTCGAGTGTGTCCCACTCGTCTTGAGCTGCACGCTCTTCATTGCATGCTTTCAGAAGATCTCCAATGAAATAATTCATAAGTTGTCGAAACCGTACGAAAAATGTATATTATAATAGGAAACTTGCATCGGACACAATAAGCCTTTTAAATGCAACGATTACTACAAGGCATGAGGTTGGACTAGTTGCTGCAAGCAGCGCGAAAAAAACAAACAAAAAACGCAGAAACAGGCGAAAAGTACACAGTACACAGCACAGCATGTGGATACTTCTACGGTCGTTTCCTTTTGCGCCGCTTTTATTTTGAAATAATAACAGGTTTCATTTCATTTCATTTCATTTATTTTTCCCTCAGGGCCCGAGGGCATTACAGAGGGGAGTGGGTTACATAATATAAAGTAAATCTAAGATATGCACATGAAACAGAACAAGAAAAATAACAATAGGTTAGTCAAATTCTGGAATATAAATATTGGCAATACAGTTTTTAAACGCCACACCATCGGAAATCGATATTGTATAAGTGGACAAACCATATAAGCAAGGGTACACTCACCAAGCTTTTCTCTGTGTTTTAGAATTGCTGGCATATATTGATCTCGCAAGACCTGTAGTATAGGAGAAAACCCAAAATATGGTATCCAACTCATTCTAAAGTTTCAGTCTGGATCTCCAACGAATGCTGAAAGCTTTTAAGTGCCTGAATTAATTTTGAGCATATTGGGTACATAAACCGCGTAAATAACACCGTTTGATGGTGATGACTTGCGATATTGAAGACCAAAACGTCCTCTGTTCAAAAAAAAAAAAAGAACAGGAGAGTTTATTTTAGTTTTAGTGAATAAATTGCAACAACAGCGCTAATTTTGTTTTGTTGAAGCACAAAAATAAGGAAGGTTCGTTGCAACATTTTTTTTAACAGCATCTTTTTTGTTTAACTGGTTTGCGTCTGCTTTCGTGGCCAACCGAGTGAATCGACATGGCAAAATAACAAAACGCACGGGAGGCGCTGAGGTGTACAGAACACAAACAAGCGCGGTCCAACCCGTGCCATCTAGCCCGTTTAGCGCATAATCTTACTTTGTCCTCCTAGCAAACGTAAAACGGTGAACTGTGCATTACAGCCACAGCGCAATTTGCCTCGCATCAAGATTGAAGCGCGCTGGTATGCGCGTTAGGCACTTCACTTTAAATCGCAGTTTTGGCTTTCATTTGGCACGTCTCACGTACTCGGCTGCACATTATGCAATAACAAACGTTGCATTACATGCGCACACCATAAAACATCGCTGGAAGGGATTTAAAAACAAAACAAAAAACTTAGCACGAAATTAATACTTACAGTCGCCGCTTCTCCAATCTCGGTGTCCTCCGGCAAGACGTCCATTTTACCGTGGCAGTGTTTGCGCGTTGCCATGGTAACTGCGAACAACACTCGCTGCTGTCGGTCGCCGTGCAACCGGTACAACTTGGGATCATACCGACGGCATCAGCGAGGAGTATATTTATGCCCAGAATGCTATTTCTGCGTTGAGTAACGATTTATGGAAATGCAGATATACCGCCACTAGATAAATTCAGATATTTTTTCCCCCTTTCAATATTTTTGGCTGCGAGGATATCTGTTATGGTACGATTCTTTTTTCTTGTCTCCATCTCTGTAGACATTTCGATTTAAATTTCCATGCCGGTGCTGCTCTCATAGCTTTCTCATTGCATTTCTAATGTAGGGATTGCTAGCACTCCTCCGCAAACTCAAGTCCACGCCTGATCGTGAGCTGCGGATTTTGTTGCTTGGCCTGGACAATGCAGGCAAGACAACCATCCTAAAGAAATTGGCCTCCGAAGATGTTGCCCACATAACGCCAACTCAGGTATGTACTGCCAGTGAAGGTACCCGGTATCTCGTGACAACAGGATCTCATGTTTCAGGGGTTCAACATCAAGAGCGTGCAAGCGGAAGGGTTTAAACTGAATGTTTGGGACATCGGAGGGCAGCGAAAAATTCGTCCATACTGGCAAAACTACTTCGAGAACACAGATGTCTTGGTTAGTGTACCTTTTCCTACCGTCAGCTGAGTCTGACAAAGTCAGTCATTGAACGTGAAAAAGGGGTAGTCAACGTTGCAAACTCGAGACCATCTGCTCATTACTTGACCATACGATTGATTTGATGTGTACAAAATATTGTCTTTAGTCTAAGAATACGTAAATGCTATTTGAAGAAATATACTAATATCAATAGATGTTCCCAAGGTGTACTGTATTCAAATTTATTTCAGCTCAGAAAATGGCCTCGATACGGATGTCGTGTCATCTGAGCTTTACGACGGTTTTAAAGTTTGCTTTCCAGATTAGTTGGTCAATTTTCTTAAAATAACCAAATTCCAAGTCACCGAATTTATCTATTCAGTTCTTGTAAACAATATAAATGGCCACCAGGAAAAAAAAAAATCAAACATACATAACGAAAACGGGTTACGCAATATTTGTTCATACTCATACACCAACACACGATTTTTTTTTTTTTTAGCTGTATGTGATCGACAGTTCTGATCGCAAGCGGTTTGAAGAAACTGGCGTCGAGCTGGCAGAGCTGCTGACCGAAGACAAGTTGTTTGGGGTGCCTCTGCTTGTGTTCGCCAACAAGCAAGACCTGTTCAACAGTGCCCCTGCAGGAGAGCTGGCGGAAGGACTTAATCTGCCGGCTATTAGGGATAGGGCGTGGCAGATTCAGGCATGCAGTGCTCTTTCTGGAGAGGGACTGAAGGTATGTAAAATTTTCTTCAACCTTCGTTTTAACTTTTTGGGTGCTGGATAATGTGCCACAGCATTTCCGAATTCCCCACAGAAATACAGAAATATTTAATATCTAATCGATACACAAAACCAACCAGTTTCAAGGGTTTCTGTTTCTTGACATTACTCCCCCCCACACGACTCTTCCTGGTATGTGTATGTATATATATATATATATATATATATAAAGTTCTCGTTAGAGCTAAACGTCGGTCAAAGTTTTTCTTGCATAAAGTATGTATCACACAGAAAACGATTGGTAACATATTAGACACGAGCCAACGAACCAATTTAGTTAGGTACAGAGCGCGATACCGCCAACGCGAACAAGCGATCACTGTATCTTTTTTTTTTTTTTTTTTGACTCCTAAAATTGAGCACTTGCCATAAAAACGACTAGTGGGGCGTAACGTCATCATTCAGGGCGGAAACTTAAGCTCTGAAGTTTGGTGCTCATGACTGAGTAAAATACATTAAAGTGCCGATGTCATGTTCGCGCTAACAGTGTCGCGCACTGTTCATAGCGTTCTGGATATTTAAGTCCGCAATTACTTTTGCATACTTCGTTTTCATTAGTCAGTATAAATATATGGTTTCAATAAGAAAATTGCTGGGAGTCATCGAAAACCACAAAATACATTTTAAAAAGACGGAGTGCGTGGGGTAGCACGGAAGTGAGCAAAAACTTTTGCTACAAGCGCATGGCTGGTGCAGCAAAACTGCGAACTGAAGAACCGCGCCCATCTCCGAGACCCAGAAAAATGAAGTACGCTTCTAAACGAAATTATATATTTAATTGTACTAATTAAAATTAATTATGGAAAACAAATTGAAACCTGAATTCTCCGAAACATTATGTACCCAGATAAAAAGACCCTTGACAGTGACAACCGTAAAATACTCAGCTTGCTCGTTTGTCGTAATGAACACCCATTCTCTACTTTTGAAGCTTTTCAGAAATAAGCCCAGTAAGCTTCCGAGCCCACCGAGACGATCCTCCGCATAAGCCGCTTCTCCGAGTACACCGGTGCAAAGGGGCGAAACTTGCGCGAAAGCGCCGGCACAAGGCGGGATTGGCAATCGAACGGCGCGGCCGCTTGAAAAATCGGGGATCAGAAGGCGAAACGAACGGGAAATTTATCACGTACTCTGTTTTGCTTCCCTTGTGCCTTCAAAAATCACGAGCTGTTAAGCCAACGCCAACTTCGTCTTCGCTTCTTGGATAATAGAGAGTTTTAGCAGATCGTTTTTTCGCCCCGATATCGATACCTCTTCTCCCTTCCGGCGGCCTTCGGCATGCATCGTATCGTTATCGGGACGAAAAAACGATCTACTAAAACTCTCTAATGTCACGTGCTGTACATCTGAACGTATAGCAGACGCTGGGGGCACCACATATTTCTGTAGAGGCCTATTGTACATACGCGCGAACGCAGAAAACGACACCGGCCAGAAGCAAGAGCCCGTTCTATACTCGCTCCCAATGGCTCCGAGACGTGCATTTCTAGCGCGAGTGCTCGTTCTGCGGAAGAATGCTTCAAAGCAACGACATCGAGTTCTCGTGCTTGAGGCATTGGCTGCAGTCTCAGCTTGACCGGAGAATACCACGTGCCCCTAGTGCCTTTCCGCTCTCGGGCCTAACAAGTGCCGATCCCCATTTTATCGCGATTACCTTAAACTTCTGAATGGGCGGGCGGCTGCTCGGAAATTTATGGCAATACAGCACCAATTGTGGTTTTGACACGAAAATATTGGCCACTGCTTGGTGGAACACCCTAGTATATGACCTGGATATGCTCCTATGCAGTATTCTTTATACATTGTATCTTCTGAATATGCTCCTTCACGTATCTTTTTATTTCTAGGATGGACTAGAGTGGGTGTGCAAGACTATCAAGAGGAAATGATATGCTTTGGTGTGACAGACCACAATCCATACCATGCCTCTAAAACCAAAACCCTGCACGGATTCAATTGGTAACACGAGTCATCGGTACAACGTTTATTGTGTAAATTACAGTTGCACAACATCAGCGAGGCATTCCTCTACATGATCAAACAACTATAGCTTCTCATGACTGTTCATAATTTATATACCTACCTTCCAGAATATTTTTGTCATAAATAAGTTCTCCCTTGCTAAGATAGCTAGCTAGACATATGCTGCCAAGGATATAACATAGACCAGGGGTGGCCAGACGGACATATCCAAAAAGCCATAAAACGGAAAAATTTTAAGCGAAGAGCCGCAATTAAAAAAAAGCGTGGCACTTTTTAAACATCTTTTTTTCCTTCACAGTTTTATGGCCACGGCTAATTCCACTCATAATGCGATTGCTCAGTAGGTTTCTTCATTGTGAGTCCACATTCGTAAAACAAGAACTTTGTCCGATCTGTGTAGGATGGCACAAACCTGACAAAACAAAAAAAAACTGCCCTTTTTCCACATGTCTTTTAGTTTGATCATGGCCGGGGTAGGGGAAATTTACAAGAGAACTGCAAGCCGCTCTAGGGACCCCAAAGAGCCGCATGAGGCTCGCGAGCCGTGCTTTGGCCACCCCTGTCATAAACACTCACACAAAAAAAAAAAAGATAAAGTCAAACAACAGACTACACTATGTGCACACTGAACTCTGCTTTCTCGATCTCTTATCTCGACGCTCATCAGCTGCTGTTTTTGAACTTTCCTCAAATGCATGCCCCCTGTACCACCCCTGCAAAACCTCCTCACTTCCGTTGCGGAGTTGATTAAGATTGAAATGACAGCTAGAAATGTCGGAATTGGACTGCTGTGAGAGTTGAGTAGATGTACAGCGAAACAAGAACTCTTTGTAGCAAGTTAAAATCATTCACATGCAAATTTCTGCCAATGGCACCCATTCGCACTAGGAAGAGGTAATGCACAATTTGGGGCAAACAAGACAGTGCTAACAGGAGCAAATGTTGTTGTCCTGTTAGTGCGGAAGGTTCTGGATGACTGCAGTCGTGAAGTCTGTGGTGCTGGCGTAGCCACCGAGGTCCCTGGTACGAACCTGAATCAAACAGCGGGAGAAAAGATTTTGCCTCTTAATTCACCTCGCAAAAACCCGGGTCGAGTGAACTACTATTTTCTTTTGCTATATGTACGAAGTTACAGCAAATACTGGTGCCTTCTAGTATTGTTACCCTCAATAAACGAACAAATAAAATGGTGACTAGCTTGTACTAATCACCTTAATACTAAAGTCGAGAACAGTATGGGCCACTAATAAAGCAGAGTGTGATTGATCATATGGTTGATTCACACTTGATGTGCAATGTGATCGTAGAGCCAAATGAAAGGTACATTTCTGGCTTCAAATCATGTTGTAGACACACAGCGTTTATGGCTAAACACAAGGAAAAAATTCAACAAAAACCCCCAAAACCAAAAAAAAATACTAAATTGGTTAGTGATACTTTGCATGCTTCCTCAATCAAAGCATGGTCTACTCGACATATACTAGTGAACATCTTTGCTGCACATTAGCGGAAAGTTTCACCCTTGAAACTTTTGATTAAAAGGAGTCTGTCTTGATATTTGGATTGTAAACAACTACAACCTAGGGCAGTTTTGCAAATCCCCTTTTCCAGGTCTAGATAGTTGTCTACAGTCACAACAGTGAACTTTTACCACTTTCCCAATTGGCTTGCATGAAGATGATCACTACTTAGCCTGAAGTTGTTTTGGCAAGTCTCGGAAAAAAGGCGAGTCGCCACACCAATGACGGAACTCAAGAAGTATGAATGAGGGCACGCTCAGGTTGCGCAGACCCTTGCTTACTCCGCTTTACAGCCCAGTCGTGGCACAAATAAACTTCAATAAACTTGAGAAACCTCCAAGCATAAAAAAACACGAAGCTTGCCTGTGCATTAACCCTCATTTCAACACTTTACAACTACATATGCTCGTGTTCTGAACTGCAACGTGATATGCTGAGAAATTGACTACTAGGAATCTTGTTTCTGCCTTTATCATTTCTTCTTTGACACACTTTTTTCTAGCCAAAGAAGGTGTTAACTTGCACAACTGCAGTAATCATTGGCTCACTGCACCATTGAAGAATGCAGAGTAAACTGGTTGTGCAGTGCCACAGAGAGCAGCAAACGAGATATTCCGCAGCCTACAGGGTCATCCACATCAAATGGCTCAAGCTTCAACCACTAAAAAGGCTGGGTGTATAGAAAGCTATAGCACAATTATGAAATGGAGAACAGCCTATTTCTAAGTAATAAAATTACAAACGAAACTGAAAATGAAGTGTTTGCTCATGCATGTGACACCACACAAACATTCACAAATCATACCATCTTAGAATGTTGTTTTTCAGTGCACTGTGTCAGTTTATTCATTGTTTTAGTGGTCAACAAATGGTATGAAAACTTTATTAAAGGGCATTTTTCATTTTAATTCGAACAGATTTATCTAAAACAAGCCGTGAAAGGTAGACTAATGTAGTTTGTGCAGGTGAGTTATACGGCCAGCTGACATAATCTACTCACAATAAGTAGAATACTTAACTAAAATTTGTTAGTTAGCCTTTTTATTAGTGAAAATAAACACATAGTTCCAATTAGAAACTTGCTGTCATCTAAGACCACTAAATCAGTCAATCTTAGTTCAAGCATGTAGGAAGTACGGGGGTGCCCTTAAGTTACCATTTGTGTAACAGGCGCTGGCGAGTCGAAAATACGGATGAAATAATTGGCATTTTTGGATCACCAGCAGTTGCACCTGCTGCACTAGCAGAAACTTTAGCGCATCCCTGTGCTTCCAATCTTTCTAAAATTGACTGATTTAGTGATTTTAGATGATGCTCAACAAGTTCCCAATTGGAACCATATCTTTATTTTCACTAATTAAAATGTTTATTATGAAAATTTGGTTAAATACCCAACTTATCATGGGGATTATCCCCCTATATTATGTCCCCATGGCCGTACGACTCACCTGCAGAGACCGCATTAGTCGAAAAAGAAAATCTGTTCAAATTAAAGTGAAACGCCCTGTATATTTCTGAACATTATTTGGACATTTATTGAACGAAGCGTTTCCAAATGTGTTCAAACAGCAAATATTGAGACTATTTTACTTCACCCAACCCAAATGGAAGAAGGGAAGAAGAACATTAGGGCGATAAATTTTTCATGGAGTTGTTTATGCAAGGGTCAGATTTTAAACAATGCATTCTGTTTTCTGCAGAGCCAGGCTTCGTTCGTCCTTCACCTAAAATGAGTCATGAAACGCTTTTCCAACTTTTTCCTGTTTAGCTTTTCTCCTTAACTCATTAATCGCGCATTCTACCAAACAGTTCAAGAAGACCGAAAGGGGGGAGTCCCTCATGCTCGGAATCTAATTTGTGTAGCCGGACTCAGCCATCGTCCCCCTAGAAGATTATCCCGTCGCTCAAAATTCAAACAAAAGTTGCTTTCCCCACCCCGTTCACTGCGAAGCTGACAGTGTGGTGGAAATTACATGCTCGTTGGGCCAGCCACACTTTTACCACGTGATCACGCTCTCGCGCGCATACCGACGCGCAAAGAATGAGGTCAGGTGATGAGAGGGAGGTGGCTGATTGGTCCGGCAAGCGTGTAGCTTCCACCACAATGTCAGCTTAGGGGTGAAGGGAATAAGTGAGGTCCGGTGCCATGTGACGTGCGTTTGGGTCCGGTGACGCACTGCGGGTGCCCGGTGATGCGCTGCGGGGTCCGCGGATGTATCACAGTGAAAAGGCAGAGAGCTTACAAAGGGAAGGAGGTACGAAATAGTCCGCTGTGTTTTCAAAATTTTCGTACCGACAGTCAGGCTTTTGACTTTCTACCTTTTTTCTTTTGGCCCACTGAACGATGTGCTATTAGTAAAATCCCAATATAAATTGATTTACTCCAGCCCAAAATTTGTTTCACTGGCCCTTTAAAAGGCAAAACAGTCAACAGGGTTCTTCTAATGTTAGTGGAAGAACCTATCCCGGAAGGCTTATCTCGGCCTGAGTGTGTTGATTTACCCTTTCATATTGGAGGGCAGAAAAAAAGATGCTCCAGTGAAAGGGCAGCTTTTCTTTTTCGAGTAAAGTAAAATCATTATACTGAAATATTCCGAGAGATGGCCCACCCCAATAGGACCCGTTTTCTGACCAATTTTCTCTCCTTGAGAAAACATGAAAGAAAACATGAAAGGATAGCTCATCCCTAGAAATTCCGGCACCTGGGTTATTAAAGGCAATTCGAGCAATGGGGTGGGCAATACAAGTCGTGCCAACAATAATTACCGATCCTTCGGCAATTTAGAAGGGTGCTGAGTAAAAAAAAGTTCTTCCTTTGTCTTTCAATTAATACGACATTTGTGGCATGCTCCAGGGCCCGTTTGCTTGAAGATGGTTAACTTTAACCGCGGCAGAAAGTTGACCGCCCTTCCCTACTAGGTACATACAAGTACCTAGCCAAGTTTAACAAAGGCTGGATGTGCGATAGCTTTGTATTTTATTATGGGGTGGTAGCTCGTGTCACCTACTGGTTGTAGCAAATATAAGTGGGTTGCATGGAAAACTTTCTTAAAAAGGGGGACCCGAGTATGCGCGCAGCCAGGTTTACGCGATGCAGCGCGGCATACATTTGAGCTGGAGAGACATTTTTTGCTGCTCGTGGTACAAATAATGGGTAAGGTAAAGCCAAATCAACCCGTGTTTGGCAAATTATTCAATGTGTGGCTGTCTGAAGTCAAGACAAGCCTTGTTGAAATTTCCTCGCCTGTGCGAAAGGGGACGACGAAGTTATGTGCTAGAAACGATAAGCAAGAAGCAAGCAGTGAAAGGCAGGTGACGCACCAGCGGCATAGTTTGCCAGCATGTAAGAAAGGTACACAAGATCTTAATGAAATGCAAATCGCGTACCTCCGCTCCAGCGGAAGTTGGTACGCGGTCTGCGTCTGTGTGCCATCAATGCCCCACCGATCGAGTCAAGACAATCCACTAGGCTTCCAAAGACGTTGCCATGTCGGCAATTACCGCGTCCCTTTAGGCTTAGGAATGGCCAGAATCGAAAGATGCTCTAAAGAGTGGGGCAAGGTCATTCATTGCTCATACTTTGCGACTTTGCGAAGAAAAAGCAAAAGCCTCCTGCCGCATTCATTGCTGACAAACGTGCCCGATAGTGCAGTGACTATGACATATTCGTTCCAAAGCAAGCGACGCTCACTGGGGGGGGGCACCGCCGCGTTTCCCCGCCATTCCTGCTCTACTGGTCACATGACCTACAATTCGCCCTCATAGGGGACTCGGTTAACCTTCTGCCACGGTTAAAGTTAACCAGCTTCGAGCAAACAGGAACCGGGGCAAGTGATGTAGGAATGAGTGGACGTGGAACCGAGTCAAGCATTTTTCCCAAGCTTTTTTGGGCCTCACACCGAAAGTAAACTAACCACGAGCAGCTTTGCTTCTCACATTGATGTGTTACCTATGCTAGGATGCATTTAAAAGCTCACCAAAATTCTAGGTGTGGCCTCTCTATTACAAGAAAACACATACTGGAATACGCTCAATTTTCTATTCCAAGACAGCTCTTGCATCAAATGTTCCAGCATCTCAAAGTTTTGGGGAAATTTGTGTGAAAGATAAACAAAGGGTATTTGGGTTCTTATAATTTCCAATTCAGCAGTCAGTCCTCGCCCCTACTTATTTAAATCTGGGTGAGGTTTGTACCAGCATGTGTTCGTGCAATTACTACTTAAAAAAATATAATTTAAAAAATATAAATAAATTAGATTTATTTGATTTAAATCAATGTAGCTATAAAATAATGCTTTTTAATTGCAATAAGCAATTTTAAAACCTAACAGATTGATTGATAAATCCGTTCGATCACTGAAAACAATACGGAACAAATAACTACCGTAATTTTAAAGTACAGTTTAATTAACAACTTTTTATTAAGTAAACCATTCTGATTTTCTCGCAATAGGACATTACTTTTCTAGTGTTCCTTTTTTTGGCATTCTTATTTACTTGCAGTAGGATGTTTTGTAACTGACGAACAAAATAAATGGTAGAAAGAAAGTTCAATGTTCCAATTTTCTCAGAAGACCATTGCAATGTGCCCGAGCTCAGCCTGATATAAATATTTTTTGCTTCATGATTTTTTTTAATACAAATAAATGGACATAGAAAGCATAAAATGATAGACAAATGCTAAAAAAATTAATATTTTTGGGATTACTTTAGTGGAAAAGGTTTGATATAAATCATTTTGATCTTTATTCTCCACCCCGCCTCGGGATGCATGTTAGAGATCTCGGGTTAGCAGTCGTGCCGCTCCGGCTAAAGTGCCCATCCACAGTGAAGACACCAGAGGCACCTCAAGACAAACTTCTTGCCATCAAAATGTGAACACAACAAAATTTGGAATTCAGCAAAAGGCATAGCGACAAGCAGAAATTGTGTCAGCACACAGTTAGACCCCATTCTCCTTTTGGTTAATATTTTTTTTTATCCATCCTAACAACTTCAGAACAGTACCACATCAGAATTGTAATTGTCACCACTTAATTCTGTATTAAAAACCATTTGCCAGAGCACAAAGGCTCACCTTCCCGCTCTTGATCACTTTCTCGACGGCATCCTTCACAAGAGTAGCGTAATAGTGCAGGTTGACGTGGCGTAGCATTTGTGCTGCGCACAGAAACATGGCCGTCGGGTTTGCAATGTTTTTCCCCGTAGCTTCGCCGAAAGTGTGCCGTGCACCCTGCAAGGACGCAACAGAGACAGGTAATGGGTGCGTCTTGACAGCAGCGTTAAACTTTCACCCAAGAACAAGTCGTGGCACGCAACTCACAGGCTCGTAGATGACGCAGTCCGAGCTGTAGCTAGCTCCTGGCACGACGCCTGCTCCCCCGACCAATCCAGCAGCCAAGTTGTCAATTATGTTCCCGTACAGATTAGGCATCACCATGACATCAAAGCGGTGGGGGTTGGCAACAAGCTGAAAAATAATAAAAGCCACTGAAATGCGACGCAAAGATTTTCTTTACTCCACTCTACTATGGTACCTATATGATAGGAGGTCAATTTCGGAATGCATGTAGGTAATAATTAGAGTTCTGTGCTTTCGAAGTTTATTTTTCGTAAAGTTCAGAGTTTATCGGACTTTACTCTTGTGAGATTCCCAATTCTACAATTTCAAAGCTTAATTTTAAAGAGTTCCCATTTTCCCCAAATTCTAAATAAAAATAAATATCCCGATTCAAACATACCTTAAATTCAAAGAAATCTGCATCGAATGATATTATTTCGGGTGGATTTGGCGTTGCCATCCAATCTCATAACCAATATAATGGGCTCATTTCTAGAACATGAACCTTTACTTTATGTATAATGCAAACTTAGTTTTAATTTCGCCTTGCTCAAAATAAATTTAAAAAAATGCAACACAACTTCTGGTTAGACAGTGGCCAGAGTGCTGTGGCAAGTAGCAGCTGCAAAGCAATATATGCATGTGATTAACTGCTTCGCACTGGCTTTAAAGAAAACCATAAGTTATGTAGCTAGTAGTTGTGAGACTAACAACCATTCATCTGAAGAAATTTAGGTCATTCTGGGTCTGCCACTGTGTGACTTCCCCTTCCAGGGTCCTGGTGTCTAGAAAAGTAGTTACCTGCATGCAGGTGTTGTCAATAATCATAGACTCAAACTCAATCTGAGGGTAGAGCTCAGAGATCTCCTGGCAGCACCGCAGAAACAAGCCATCGCCCAGTTTCATGATGTTTGCCTTGTGCACCACTGTAACCTTCTTCCGCCCGTGCTTGGTGGCGTAGTCGAAAGCAAACTTGGCAATCTTACGTGACTTCATCTCGGTTACAATTTTCAGACACTCAATCACCCCAGTCACGCTCTGCATTCGGAAAAGAACAACGCAGTCAATTAGAACAATGCCATGACTCAACTAAAGTAAAGTACGTTGCAACGTTACTAGAACACTCAGTTGGGAAACTCGCCGTCGAAACTTGGGCCGCTGGCGTCCACCGAGACCGAGCTAAATACGACAACAGCGCCACTCCTTGTCATTTTTCTGTACTGCATGGTCACCTTGAGCTTTTACATAGCATATTTTTGCATAAAAACAAAGAGAGAAGACTTGTTTTGTATGAAATTTACTGGAGTTTAGTAGAAAATGATGGGCGCATGATGTTTTTAAAATCTTTAGTTTGCAGGGTTTTGCGGCACAATTGATATTGTTTTTATACAGCCATGCCTCAGCGGTGCTTTCAGGTAGCGTGTCCCGACCTAGGTGCATTTTACCTTCAGTAGTAAGTCGCGGCGAGTCCGCTGGGGAGACGGGGGTGGCACCCCTGCAACCTCTTCCGCTGTATCTGTTTCGGCTCCAAAATGGCCGATTAAAGCCAAAATAGAAGCAACGTACAGTTCCTCGAGTGGCCGCTGCGAGAGAAATGGCAGCGTTGTGTTCGTCATTAGCTCGGTTCTCGAGGACAGATCGGGGCCACTTTTTCAGATAAGTCTCTATGGCAGTTTCCCAACTGAGTGTTTTAGTAACGTTGGTACGTTGCAATTGGGGGGAGTGAATAGAATATTTTTTTGCAGTCACCTCGTGTTCCAGAGCACTGTATTCACCTTCTGTCTGCTCTCGTATCACAAAGAAATCTAGGTTGCTGTGCCGAGTTTTGATGCCAGGAAGACTTCGTATATGCACAACATTAGCAAACAAGTCCAGTTGGTTACTGAAATCAAAAAGTGAAAAACATTAAGATAATTGTACCATATGGGAACAGCAGCCTTGACCCAAATACTAAAGGCATGGGTGAAAAGAAGGCCTACCGAATTTTCATGTTCAGTGTCTGCAACTCTCCAGTATGAGAGATGTTTGGTGAGGACAAGATTCCTTTGAGTGCAATTCCATTTTTTTGCACCGATTCTATCACGGTTTCCAGTGGTGCACTAATTGTGTGGTGGATCTCACTGCAACAGGAAGACATAAAAAATCAATGAATGTACTACTACTAGTAGTATGAAAGAATTAAACCCCAAAGTGGGCTGTATACAATAATCATAGACATTACAATTGCTCAATGGCAGAAGTATTAAGTTTGTCTGTCTGTTTTGCTGTGCTAGGACAAGCCTTTAGGGGAACTTGCAATGCCCTATGGTTCTGACGACTGGCATTTTCTTCACATGTGTCTATGCATTTCAATGTCACTAACAATAAGCACTATAAGCAGTAATAAGCACTATAAGCACAATAAGCAGTATTCAATTCCCATTTGCTAGAAATTTTTCTAATGCAGAAGAGCATACAGGCACATGTACTTATTATTACAAGCTGTTTATCTGCACAATAATTTGTGCAACTTGGGCATCTCTTAAGCCCATGCAAGCCTACTGGAAGCAGCATTTGTGGTTCAACTGTCAGACTGATGCATCGTTTATGCAAAGTGCACATAAAAATAAGTGAACTTTAAATAAATACTTCACTGTGAATGTCAATATTTATGCAGCCTCCTTTTGATGTACCTCAAGAAAAGCTCTTCAAACTCAATAGGGATGCTGATGGCTTGAAACACATTCTTCACGGCATCCGCAAGTTCCGGCCCCACACCATCTCCAGGAATAAGTGTGCACTTGATCTTGGCTTGTGGTCGTGACACCGGTTCTTGCTGTGAAATAAAGCCCATTGGGCAATGGTGGAGATGCAAATGGGTTGTGAAATATGCTTCTGTCTCACAACTAATAGGTGGTTGTGACGGCTAGGAAACAACAAATTCCAATCAGATTGAACAAAAAAAGCCAGCAGAACGGCTCAGAAATTGGCAATACATACAAGCATCAATATTAACAATCAACGCTAATGTTGACATCAAGGGGGATGCTATATACTACAACACTCAGGGAGCAAGGCACATAGGATGTGGGTGGTCCTTGTAGCACACGTTTTTTTAAATTGTTTACCTTAGCATGCTAAGGTAAACAATTAAAGAAAAATGTGTGCTACAAGAACCACTCCAACCCTTATGTGCCCCGCTCACTGAGTATAGTATATAGCGGAGGTGGCCAAGCTGCGGCTTGTGAGCCGCATACGGCTCTTCGCGTGCTAAAATGCGGCTCGCAATTCCCTCCCTCCCTCCCTCCCTCCCTCCCCTCCCCTCCTCCTCCTCCTCCCCCTCCCTCCCTCCCTCCCCCCCCCGCGCACCCACACATACACACCGCCTCCCTCCCGATAACACGAGCACTTCCCCCCCCCCAAAAAAAAGGAACGCTTTTTAAATCGAAAGACAGGTTACGGTTTGGCAGTCAGTACGTACAGTTGGACTGCTTCTGACTTGGATAGATTGAAAGTATTTTCGTTTATTGCTCTAAAAAAAAGTCCCTCCCCCCCGCGGTTCTTGGAAGTTTCGTGGTTTTGTTTGCGGCTCGTAGGCCGGGTCAGCCTGGCCACCCCTGGTATATAGTATCCCCCTTTCTTGTTGTAGAAGCTATGTTGGACAGACCGGGCGGTGTGTAAATGACCGGCTAAGAGAACACAATCTCTCTCTAAATTCTACGGTGGGGTCCATCTACCCCAGCACTGCAAATCCTGTATTTGTACGCCATCCTTTGCAAAAACCAAGATAATAGGCAGGTACTGGGAAAAGCACACCAGAAAGAAAGTATGATGCACCGAAAAATAAATGTACAGAAACGCGAAGGGTTTTACGGCTACCCAATAGATGGTGACAGTTTGTTCTCTCGTTGAGATTTTAAGAGGTTTTTAGGCAGACGGTCGTGAACAGTCGCAAGTGTGTGAGCCAGCCTTCATGAAGCACACTAGAGCTCATCTCCTCTTGTGATAAGACCTGCTGGAGCAGAAAGTTTGATTCTAATTCAAACAGATTTTTTTGAAAAAGGGGGTGAGAGCTAGACGAGTGCCGTCTTCACCATGCATTTGTCGGGCTCGGGGGACATTAGATGAGGGGATAATCGTCGTGGTAGGCTGGCTAATTAAATCTTTAATTATTGGCTTTAGGGGTTATGTGGCAATTCCGGTATTGACGGCTATTACTACCAGGGGTCAGACAAATGAAAGAATTTGTGACAATGTAATAGTGTACGAGATATTGATACATTTTGAGACGAAGAAGAAGAGGAAAATAGATGGTGCTACATTTTCACATTTTTTTAGCCCAGTTTAAAGGAGCTGTTTAACGATTTTAACGTTGAAAAATTTTGCATCTTCTACTTTTGACATTGTTTATCTTGTCACAAAGGACACAAAACACACCTCCCTCCTTCGAAATGTTGCGATTCCGCCGCGTAATTGCGAGGCAAAAATTATAATATTTCCCAACCTGCAGCCGCAAGCGGCAGCCGTGAGAAACACGCAGCATGACGTCAATGGGGGTCTTGTAGAAAGATAGCAAGTTGTGCAAATACCTGGTCAATAAAACATAATTTTTCTATAAATCTTGTCGTTCCAGCATAAATATAAATGCGTCAAAAACCTGGTATCATCGACAAACGTTTTATTATACGGACTTCTGGTGGCGCCAGCTATCCGAGGTCAACAAAACCGTCAGCTCTGTTTGCTACCGCGAACGGCCACCACCCGGAGGGGGACAGGGGCAGAGCCGGCAAGGAATAGCTGGACTCGGATGAGACTTTCCTCCTTTCGCCATGTTGATCGCCCTGCGCAAGCACGTGGTCGCGTGGTCGCGAGCGGGTGAGTTCTCGCTGCTCACTGATGGCTCTAGAGAGAGAGCTTCACTGGAACTCCGTGCGTCCCCCATAGACGTCACAGCGCACGTGACTCGGAAGATGGTGAAGGAGTTGAGAGGTGCCGAAAACCTCAATCTTTGTCCATTTTTAAAATAAAAACGAGGACATGCAGGCAAAAGTGGTTTTTTGTTCTTTACTTCAGAAAGGTCGAGAAACCTACACCTAAGTTATTTAAGCAAGGCACTGAAATTGTTGCACAGCTCCTTTAAGAATTGCGTGCAAAAAGAGCGCCACAAGCCCGGTGAACAATGACAGCTGGAAGGGTGATGCAGTCATTTCAATCAGGTTGTCACTATCTCGGCAGCGTGTCCTTGGTGGGTGCGCCAATGACACGAGTAATGACGCAACTGAAATGTCTATGTCACTCTTCTAAGCGTCATTGTTCATACTGATGCACGCAACGTTTTAAATTGAGCCGAAAAACATGAATATTGATCAATTAATATCTCAAAAATCACAACAAAATAGGTTTTGGGATTTAACATTTTAAACTTTCGTGGTGTCAAAGAATTTAACACTAGACATATGTAAAATGCTCTGTGCGGAGATTCTTTTTTTTTTTCTTCTTTCTTTTGTGTAACTAACAGATTTTTGGTGCCTCAATGATGAAACCAGTGTTTACTTTTTGTGCCCCTATGATGGGTCAAGTAGTTATTGTGATTTAAGAAATTATTTATTGAACATGACATTATTTTCAATGATTGTGGAATCAATATCTGATGTCGAATGTTTATTAACGATAAAAAAATGTGACGACCACATTTTCTTTAGCGAATTTCAACATTTTCTTAGACAAGTGTGTATATTTATTACGCATGAATGTTCCAAGTGTACTATTTTGTTTTTCTCCTCTGTGAGTGTTTGTATTTACTGTATACTACAGGGGGTATTGTGTACTTACTGTATACTACAGGGCGTAGAGGCCTCAGTTGGGCAGAAATGCCCTTTGTCTCTACCTCCCTACTGGGCTTGACCCATAAAAATCCAATTTTACAATAAAAAAACAAAAAAAAACACTTATATTTAAAATTTTTTTTAGTTGGACTGGCCTCTATATAATTCCAACCAATACTGCAATTGCAACAAGACCCCTAAAACCAATAATTAAAAGGTTAATTAACAGATTTTAGTTGATTGGCCAACTTACCATGAAGATTATCCCCATATGGAATATCCGCCGAGCCCGATTAATATATGATGAAGACCGGCACTCGTCTAACTCTCACGCCCCCTTTTAGAAAAAATCTGTTTTAACTAAAGTCAAACCCCTTTATATAGTTTGATGGATACCAACATTTCCCCAACAGCAGCTTATTTTGGCTTCCACAAGACGAAAGAAGTATTTTGCGGACAAGCTCACTAACGGGAAGGATCACCACTGCTTCTACTATCTGCAATCCACCCTTTTCCGGATTTCCGGTTTGAGGGTTTTTTAGTGTGAAGATGCATGGGCGTGGCAGGAGCTGGCAGGAATATCCCTTCAAGTAAGCATGCTAAATCCTGTTAGCTCTAGTTAGCTTTACTCTGCTACAGCAGAGTCCTTCAATACGCTACTGGTCACAAAACTTCTCCGTAACACCATGGGAGAGCTTGGTACGCGGCCATGCGCGGCGCTAGAGTCAACAAGGGGTCTAAGAGCCGCCAATCTAGCCAGCACACTTGGGAGTCTGGCAACCAGAAAGTGCTATAGAAATTCAAACCCCACTCTGAAAAAGCCATTAACAGACAACGGTGACGCGGCATTGCACTGACAGCGTTTCTCATTAATGTAAGCATTTTCAGCTTTGTACACTGTCGACTGATCAAACTTCCTTTTCTGCAATGCTGTCCAGAATATCATTCTCCATTCCTCTTGCCTCAAAATGAATTCTCAATACCGCTATCCCATCAAACTTCAGTGCCGCAAAATTGCCTGGCTCTTTTTCGCTTGCAAAAACAACATTCTGCTTCAGAAAAAAAAAAAAAAATCACATATTTATGTTTTTATGTTAGAGATCATAAAAAAAATTTCACAGTGCTTGCGTGCAGCGACCGATTACAGCGTAAAAACTATATTGGTGTATGAGAAATTGTTTATTGGAAACTACCTGTAATCGTGAATTTAAGGTTGCATACCAAGACGGGGCGGCCAAACGAAAGTGCCCCCTCAAGAACAGAGGCACTCCTGGCGGCAGTTTTTGACCCTGTACCAATCTTTGGCTTAAGTTTCGTGACCAGTACCGCATTGAAGGACTTTGGCTACGGTGACCTAGATTCGGCTCCAGAGACATCACTTTTGGGCCCATTGTGGATTTTCTATGGCTTCCAAGTTAGTACAAAGAAGCTTCCTCCCTCCACTTTCTTTTGCCATCTTTTCTTTCCACAAGTTTCTCACCAAGGAAATCTGTCGACAGGGGGCATCACTTTCGCCAGAAGAGGTGGATTGCTGGAAGCAGTGGCACATCATTCACCGTAGCCCGATATTAGGAAGAAAAACCGCCTCAAATGTAAGAGCCATTTAAGGCTCGCCATGGGCGTCCGCAGAACTTTTTCCAGGGGGTGCACACTTATACTCCCCCCCCCTCCCCCCTCCCCCTCCTTCCTTCCTCCTCCTCCTCCCCCCCCCCCCCCCCCCCCCCCAAGAATGTTGGCGATGTTGGCTATTTTCAGCACATTTCCACGTTACTCTCTCCCTGCTTTCACGGCCGCGCCCTGGATCTGGGGCTACAAACCACCGGTCTCTATGACACTGCTGGATCACGCTTCCCGCTCCCGCAAGTGAAGCGCGGACGGCCATCTTGCATGTTGAAAAATCATGTTTTTGCAGCGTTGCGGAGGCTGGCGGCAGCGTGCTGAAGACATTTCCTGCTCGCTCGTCATTATTCGCTGAGGAAGTTCTTTAAAACCCTCTGTAAGCCGCGAGTATTGCAGTTGAGAACACATAAAAATTTTTACTGAGGCGCAGCGCCGCAGAAAAATAGCACAACACGTCGAAAGCAAGTTTCGCCGGTCTGGCGGCGCAATCAAAGCTTCCTTGGCATGTTTTTTGTTCTTGTTTTTTGCCGTTTAAATTTGCCGTTTTTTCAATAGCCATTTTCAACTTCCACATACTTAATAACATGTTGGGAGCAGTAAATCTATGGTATTCAGAAAATGTAGTTGGTTTGGGTAGCTACGAAACTGTCGGAGCACCCTTTAACTGGTGTGGGTGCCCCCCCCTGAAAATTCCAAGAGGGGGGGGGGGGGGGGCCAGTGCCCCCCTTGCACCCCTCTGCGGATGCCCATAAGGCTCGCATAGTGGTGTCTCAAGTCCTGCTCCAACGTAACTTGCTTGCGCATAGCAACTTTCTACAAAAAGCAAAGAACATTAAGCAAGATTAAACAACTAAAAAGATGATAACAAAATTCCTCACTAGAAGCATGTAAAAACTAGCTACTCGTACACTACAACTACAAGCCCATGCGTGATGAAGCAAAAACACATTTTTTATAATGTTTTTTTTCTGTAACTCAATCCACTTTGCAGGTTCGGTGCAGTTGTCTAACTGGTGTCAGAAGCAGCCAGGAGTCAGCAATGGGTGCAGACAGTGGAAATCTTTTTCAGTAAACTACTGCTGCAACCATGAATGAGAAGGGGTAGGACATGCGGTCAACAACATTAGGCTACAAAGTGCAAGGTTGGGGATGTAGTGCTCCTGCTATGCAGACGCCACAAGGAAACTCTTGGTTAACGTCACATAGCGTGAACTGTGCAGATTGGATCTCAACGAACTCACCGATATCTGGAAGAACACCGGGTCGGTATATATGAAAAAATGAACACACAAAATCGGTCACCCAGACACCCAAGGTAATAACAAGGTCATAAAGCTGCCAAAGGCATCAATGGCACCAGCCTCGAGCTGAATGATGCTTTTAGGCTCACTGAAACTTCGATGTGCGAGGAAACAGCCACAGGCTAGTGAGAGAGCGAAGGATATAGCGGTCACTTACCACGGCTTGGAGCTGACTGGCAGTGGCTGCCAAGCATCGTCGAGGCGTGTGCGTCGCCTGTAAATGCAAAAACAAACACAAAAATGAAATTAGTGTTGAGCTTTTATGACACGATGAGCATTGTTGTTTTACAACTGTAAATACAATTCATGCACAGTTCAGCTTTCATTTATATTTTAGCGTGCTAGATCACAACTTCTAAACAGCTTGGGCGGAGCCATGGATCATTTAATGGAAAACGTGATCGTTAAGTAAGCCATGGCAGTTTAGGGTATGAATGTAGACGCAGTTTATGAGACGCATTAAAGTTAATTTCTACACAATGCAATGAAGACACGCGACATGTAACAGTGGTCAAGCGACCTGGATAGGAAGAGGGAGCAAACATCGTAACGCGCGAGACACATAGAGGAAATGAACAACGACCTAATGCGGCATAGCGTCTAAAACTGTGGATTTAAAGGTTCGTGTCATACGTGATTGCACAGCTTTGAACAGGTTTTCAACACGCCTCGGAAATTCATCATTTTCTTGATGTCCCCTACACGAGCAGCAGCACAGCAGAACGCCAAGGAGAAAGGTAAGAGTGTGCCTACATTACAGAGTGTGTCCAACTGTTTGAGAGGGGTCACGTGGTTCTGCGACGAGGAGTGAAAAGCGTTTTATCGTCTGCAAGTGCTTTCCACCTCTCCCCGCGACAAAGCAAAGAATTTTCACTTGCGACCAATCTGCGCAGCACTTAGCAGGAGGTGTTCTCAGGGCGTTGTGCTAAATTACAAATGCTCTTCATGTTTTGAGTTGCTCCCTCTCTCCAATCCAGATAAAACAGCGACATGGGCGACGTCTAGCGCCTAGCCGAAGTCCGAAGTCACTGTCTGCTTTGTAAAAAAATAAAGCCAACTCCAATAGTAGTTATTAAATGTGCGCAGAAAAAATTACTTGACATAAAAATATAACACGCTTAAATTGTTTTTAATAAAGGATTCCGCCACGTTCGGGGAAAGTAGTGTACACGCTGGCAACAAGTGCTTGATAAAGAACTAAAGAACGATAAAGAATTAAAGGTGCGAAGGTGCTGGGTGGTATCGGCACTTTGCGTCTCGAAATGCTCTATTTTTATTTATTAAGTTGGCTAGCGACAGTTATTCAAATATGTTTTATTATACTGGCAGTGGGTAAGTCACAGCCATTCATTATTTAACATTTTACTCGCTACGCTGGCCGTGAAATAGGAGCCGGCGTTGCGTGTATTCGGAAAGCGTCGGTCGATGCAATCTTGAAACATAGCTCTGCAATGCGTAATTTCGGGTTTCTCTAATATTGTCGCGTGGATAATCCTAAATTTACGGTAGAAGTGCTCGCGATCCCTGTTCCTCTCTCTTAAATCCAGTTGGAGCGTAATCGTTCGCATATGTGACGTGAAATCAGCGTTTGTTTACCTCACTTTTCGCTTCGTGCCCTGTGCTGTTTCAGCTGCCGGGCTTTACTACGTTGCGGAACTCGTGGAGGAGTTCACAGTAATGACTGGGAAAATAATTCGGATACTGATCCTGGTATGCCCCGCAGTTTTGCTCATTTATTTTGATACCACCGTTGCCGGTGGTGCTCAGTTGCTCTTTTTGCATTTTGCTCCGCCTCGAGCGCGATCTTTCTTCCTTTCGTAAATATGTTGACTTAATAGCGCAAATAAGGTAAGGAAGGAAGAGGCAACAGCAAGGAAGGAGCGCTGACTCACAACTCAGGTTTCTATGAGCTTCATTAAACATTAAACGGTGCAAATAAGGTCTTACCTTACTTGCGCTGTTTAAGTCAACATGTCTAACCAACTCGCCCAGCAACTCATTTTGATACAGTTGCTTTGATAAATACCAGCCAACGAACGCGTGCTGGAGGCGGAGCATCTACTGGGCTCTTTTCCTGTCACCGACTTAAGTTCCTTCACGTCTGATGTTCCGTGTGGTGATCTTGCAGCTTACACTTGCCGTGTACGCCGGACTGTTCGTCTTCGAAGACCTGCCACTGACAATGATTGGGTGTGGTGTACTTAGCCAAGTGATGCACTTGCTCGTGCTGCGCTCGTTCCCTTTCTTCAACTTGTACTCTGTTCCTTTCTTATTAGCGTCAGGTGAGTGAATAGTGGAGCAAGCTTCGTGGGAATGAGACGTCTAAATGTTCTTCATTCTGCTTGTTTTTTTTGTGTGTTTGTATTCGCAGTGCTCGTCGTAGTGAACCACATTCTTGCATTCAGCTTTTTCTCTGGCAAGGTGTATGCTTTCAGCGAGGTAAGTGGATATGATGTCATCCATGTACTGTATTGCCACAAAATTAGCTTTCTCCGGCCTACAACGTCGTAAAGATGTTTTTTACGGGACGTGCACACCCAAGGGTTGAGAAAAATCATTTCCATGGGTTGAGAAAAAAAGCTTTGAAGAGTTACTGCAATTAAATTTCGGCGCTTATTTCTTGGTCTATACGTCAAGGGGGTAGTATCACATCCGACACACCAATCTCTCGTCGAAAAGGAATTTTAAAATGAATTAAATGATTAGCAAATGGCACCTGATGGATGTCGCTAAAGCCTCGCTGGTGCCCCATGCGTGCAAGCATGTGCAGCTTGCAGGTGAGTGTAGCTTTGGCAAGCTTGTAATTGCTTGCACTTGCCATACGAGCAGCGACATGGCGGCGGCCGGATGCCTTGCTTGCAATCGTCTTGTCGACGTCAGCCTCACTGCAGCGTTGCTCATCCCGAGACAGACTATGTCACGATTGTGCGGGATGTCACATGCTCTCCGCTGGCTGCTCTCTGAGCGCTTTCCAGAGTGGAAAATTACAGCTATCAGGCTCAAAACAAAAACATGCCAATCTCATTTACGGATATTGTGGACCATATTCAGCCTATTTTTAAACACAACAGGTATATTTCTAATTTCGTTGAAGTATCCCTTTGAAGAGCCACTGATAGCCTCAACATCAATACGTCTTTTATGGTTTGAAACACTTCAAAACATCCAATATAACCTTAAAAAAAAAAAAAAAAATCCATGTTTGTTAGTTTCTTTAAGTTCCTCCAAACTAGGGGGAGTGTGCATGCCAATCCTTGCTCCTGTTTTCAATAATGTAGTTGACAAAGGTGTCTTCAAGAAATTTAGAGATGTTGCGAGTTGAGTGCCTGCAACAATTGATAATGACATTCAACAAATATGGTTTATTATAACAATCGTAGACACACTACGCCGCTGACTTGTAAATGTGAAAACTCTGAGCCCGAAAGTGTTAGTGATGAGGCATTGGCTGTCCGTCTCCTGGCTTGTTTTCTTATTTTCAACACTGCGGCGCTCGGCGACTGTGTTGAGGGCTTTGAGAGGGATGGAGGATTTTGGGAAGGTTGGCAAAAGCTCGGATAAGTTGTTTTTTCAGTGTTGGATAACCTCTTGGTCTTCAAGAGAGCATTAGTGAAGATATCAAGAATTTTTGGTTTTCCTTGGCGTTGCTCTCAAAGTATGCGACACATAATTTTTTTTTTTACCTTTTTAAAAAGCGTTTATTTAGTCCCACTAAACAAACACTGCAAAACGAAAAAAAAAAAAAAAAAATCAAACTTTAAAGTGTTGCTTCTGCCTACAGAGAAAGGTTCCATGGCAAGCACACAGCAAAGTAGGTGCTGATTAGCCAGTTGGCAGACACGAGTGCTCGTGATTTCCATGGTTATTGAGAGGGAAAGTAAGAAAGTTAAACGACACTTCCTGTTTGAAGTCATCTAAAAAGGCAAAGAGTGCAGCATTTCTCCATCTACGTCATAGATTCAAGCGGTAGTTTCAATACAGGCTTTAAGAAAATGTTTTTTTCCCTCTGTGAATTGCATGCAGTTCCCAAGCTTAAAATATTGAGGGCAAACCCTACAAATCATTTTCAGTCATTTGCAAAAAAAAAAAAAAAAAAAAAAAAAGAATTTTGGGGTGTCAGCGACTCTTTAAACTATACTTTGTTTCTGCTTAAGTCCAGATGCAGCCGATGGTACAAGCGCGAGCATGTGATCCTGAACAGTGCTTGCACTGCACGAGCGTGCTTGCTTGACAGGGATGCTGAGAGCCCAGAGCTCGCGCTTGCAGCATCGGCTGCGTCTGTTCTTAAGCTGAAATGAAGTATAGGCAGTGTTGGGTAAAGTACATCTAAAAAATACTTGAAGTAAAGTACAAAGTAAATAAGAGGTCATGTACTTCGGGTAAAGTAGTAAGTACACTGGGTGCAATGGACTTCAAGTAAAATACTATAAATACAATGTACTTTTAAAGGGTTACTGCATCGAAACTTAAAATATACCTCTCACGTTTAGAAATAAGTTAAACATTATCAACTCTATCTGCTAATGACAGTCGCACACTTGTATTTCAAGCGGGTGGCTTTATTGTTTGTTCTAAATGTTTGATTCTGGCAAGCGCTTTAAAATCAGCCATTGAAGAGCGCAGTGCACCTCAAGATATCCGTCCCGCCCGTGACGTCATAGGGCCAAGCGTATCGTAGTTAGAAGCGTTGACACTTGGTGGCGTCAATGCGTTACACCTTGCTTAGTCAGAATGCCCAAGGGCTGTAACATATCACGGGGAGATTGCAGAGCCGGCGGAGTTGTGCGTGCTATGACAACACATAGTGCGTCGTCTGCTTCGCGACTTGGCCGATATGACGACATTGGCAAGGTTGGTTTCAGGTGCAAGCTCGCTACTCTTTGAACGGGACGACATCGTCGCAAGGCAGCTAGGTACCTCTGTTATCTCGCACGAGGCGAGATACAGGCAGATTTCCAACCTCATGTTGTCTAAGGCGATGGCAGAATAATGTTTGACATTGGTAGGACCAGGCATTTGCAGCTTACCTGATTTACCACCGACTGATTACAACGACCAGACTCGGCTTTGAGGGTGCCATACCAGTTGGCATCCTTCATTTATTAAAGCGAGCATGGAAGCAGGCAGAGTCCGGTGAGGCAGCACGGCGGTGGCATCACTGGAGTATTTCACGCAGCTTCTCGCATCAATAGTTTTGTGACCACAGCATTGTCACGCCACCGCGAAGGAATGCGTACACCACAACGAGTTTGCAACATTCCTTGTCACAAGGGCGGACCTTAAACGAATGAAGGGAGGGCATCGGAGTTGAGGAAGCTTGTGCTGGTCTCGACAGGATGCGATTTTCCAAGCAAAGGCACAGATCAGAGAGAACACGACTGTACAATTCTCACATCATCACACGAAAACTACCACGAAACAACGCTAGCATTGCAACGATTTTGCATTGCGACCTGTCTTAATGGCGAACACTAAACGAATAAAGAGAAGCGATCGGCATCGCTTTTGCCGGTCTCGTCCAACTAGGCTTACGTGATCGTCCAGGCGGGGGCACTTAGCACGTCTATGGCTACTAAGTTGGACGGCGAGACGATCGCTGAATTCTCACATCGTCGCACAGGAACTACCACGCACAAAAGCGGATACCGGCGCAGCTCTGCAACATTGACCCGGGTCACTTCGAGAGGTAGATGTCCCTTGGCGAGAACGACGTTGAATGCATCGCGCGCCATGTTGAAAAAGATAGTTCATTAGCCCCTGACGTCAGTGACGTCAAAGAATGAGTGGAAGCGATTTGCTGGTGGAGTGGCCGACTGTGCTTTGGATTTCTTCACCAAACCTTCGGTAATATGTTCTGGCCTAGGTAATCTGTACTAGTGTGCATACTTCCCATATAGTGGCACTGCCGTTGGAGGCCGATGCTGTCACGAGATTCCATTGAAGCTTCATAAGCAACAACCAGGTGGTTTTTAGTTATCGTTGAATGCAGTTTCTTGCGTTTTTCAACAAAATATTGATGTTTCTGAGGTTCTATGTCATGTTGAAGCAAAGAAATGAGCTCCAGAATTTCATTTTCGTCCCTTTAACCATTCTTCAGGTGAATGCCTAAGAATGCTTCGACTCAAACCCTTGGACAATCTTCAACTCAAACATTATGAAAGACGCTTCAGACCACCCAACTAGAGCCCACAAAGAAGGAGGGCAACCTTCAACAGGGCAGTCTACAAAAGGGCACAATGAGGCCAAAATTTTGGGGACATAAACTGAAGGTCAAAAATAACCGGCACTGGCAGAAGAGACTCATCATCTCGATTACTAAGAGACCTTAGGAAACCTATGCTGACAATCAACCCAAAACAACAGTAAAACAAAAAAAAAAAAAAAAAAAAAAGAAGAAGAAAGGAGTTTGCTTAATGTTTGTGTAAAATTTTTCGTTGAAAGGAAACTGCCACTTGTATGAAAATATCCAAATACCAATATTTTTCGGTTTTAACCGATTATTTATTTTCGACACTGGCGGATATTTATCTGTGCTTTACGGTTAAAACCAGAAAGTATACAACCTACTTATAAGGCACCTTTTTGTATTGGTCTTTTACTCGCCGTTATTTTACTCAGAGAAATGACCCAATAACGTCTCGAAAGATAATAACTTGTTTTCATGACGATGTCAAGATGCTTATTTTTTTCTTAGTGGTTGGAGAATTTTTTTACTCGACCTCAGAAGTTGTGCATAGTACTAAGAAAGCCAAGGACATGAGCATGTGGTCCTTGAGCTTATATTCGCTGAGCAGAACCCAAATCAACACGCTCGTCCCCGTGCATTTTGTGAACTCTGCGAGTCTTCATCAACCTCCCCTCCCCCCGACTTCATGATTTGGCATCGCTTGCACTGGCTTGCACCCAAAGGGTTAAGAACGTAGCAATACGTCGTCTGCTCGCATTTTTGGTTAGAGTAGGATATCCCTCCCAGTTTTTCTGCAGAGTTGCCGAAGCATCATTTTGTGGTAAATTTGGAGAATTTACTTTGAAGTCAGGAGTTGTACTTCCTCGGAAAGTACCTGAAAAATATACTTTAAGTAAACTGCAAGTACATACTCAAAGAATGTACTTCAAGTAAAGTTGAAGTTTCTAAACCTGCTTAAAGTAGTACTTTAAGTATGATGTACTTGAAGTACCTCCCCACACTGAGTATAGGCAATGCCTCTTTGGAAGTGGTGCAGTTGGGTGCGAGGAAAGTTGTATTTTTGAGAGTGCTGATGCAAGCTGTGTCGTCTTCGATCCTTCAGGTGCTTGCATACTTCACCATCTGCTTGTGGCTGGTTCCATTTGCATTTGTGGTCTCCTTGAACGCCAACGACAGTGTGCTTCCCACCCTTGCGGAGAAGCGGCCACTGTTGAATGGTAGGTGCTGCTTCCCATTCTCTCGGGAAGGGGGGGGGGGGGCAAGGCTACTCTCTGCGGATGTGGGATACTTGTTAGTGCTACATGTTCACCGGCTACTCTCATTTGCACCTCAAAACACAATAAAAAAAATGAACAAATTGGATTAATATGGAATATTGCCAATTTATCTCTTTATGTGGTGAGTTAAAACACCTGCATGTGCAGTTAACCTAGTTTATTTCTTATTCCATCAAAATATACATGTTTCAAGTACCAAATGCACTGTTTTCTTCTTTGACAGCCAAATATTGCGACTACTTGCACGGCAATCAAACTACCGTAAAGTACCAAGCAGCTTTGACAGTATTGTATATTAAGTATGAAACAGAGTATTGAAAGAAATAGTGCTCACATAAGTGATAGCTGTCCTGAAAACAGTTGTTTAAAGCTGCGTGTTTATTCACAAAGAAGCTTGCATCGCCATGAGGCATTTTAGCAGAGGGTGGATTTTACAAAGCCCTCATAAAACATGACTGGAATATACAGGGTGCTTTTTTTTAAATTTTAACAGATTTGTTTAGAAAAAGCCGGAAAAGTTACATTTATGCAATTTGTGCAGGTGAGTTATACGACCAGGGGGACAGAGTATAGGGGGCTAATCGTAACGATCAGTCGGCTAATTAATTAAAATTAATTAATAAACTTCTTTTAATGCAAATATACATATGGTTCCTATTAGAAACTTGTTCAGCGTCATCGAAAACCTCTAAATCAACTTTTTTTAGAAGGATATACCTACAGTAGAATCTTGTTAATTCGAATTCGAGGGGGACTGAACGTTTGTTTAAATAAAGCAGTATTTGAATTATCGGGAGTTTTCTCCCATAGAGACGAATAGGATGCGACCTGCATGTTAGTTTGAATTATCGGCAAGTTCAAATTAAGAGAGTTTGAATTAATGAGGATTCAACTGTACGGCAGGTGCAGTATATTACGGCGTTCCGTAAAAACGCTCCATTTGGACATGTTTCTAGGTTTCGATTTCTTATTGGAGCGCATCTCTGTGCCCGCAGTCCTGCTCCCCAGTGGCTGAGACGCACAGCACATGTGCGCCCAACTTTCCTCCATGCTACGAAGGAGGCGAGGAGTGGCTTCGCGCCGCGACCACCGGGGGAAAGAAAGCGAGCGCAGAGATGCGCTTCGATAAGGAAGGGAACTCTAGAAACGCGTCCAAAGTGAGCACTTTTTTAGAACGCCGTAGAATGCTGCCCCTGCGTTATAGCCTTCTAAAAAGAGTTGATTTAGTGGTTTTCGATGACGCTGAGCAAGTTTCTAATTGGAGCCATATGTATTTTTTCAATAAAGGGACCATGAAATGACCTTTTTACTTTTGCCAGATAACTTTTACATTAAACCTTCAATGTCCTCTGAATGCCTAACAGGCATCCGTTTTCGTCTTGGTTTATTAACTTCTACACAAAAAGTTAATGAAATATTGACTTTTTCTTTCTCTCCAACTGACCACAAAACAAGTTGCGGCGTAATTTTGACGGTCGTGACGTATCCTGGCACAGGAACCGTAAGTTCTCTCGGCTGTCGGAGAATGGGAGCGTTAGCGGCAGTTAGCGGCTGCGAGTTGGCGGTGTGCCGGTAGGTTTTACTGCGCTGATGGGGCTGATGTCACCAATGTATTTTCTGAATCGGCGCCATTGCAGCTGACCGAGATTCAATTAGATATGTTGCGCTACAGCGACAGCATGGGACTAGTCCCATATGCCGGTATGCCTGTTGGGAAGTGCGGCGAGTCTTCTGGTGAAGACTCCTGAAGTCAACCCAACTGTCATTGTTGGTAAAAGGCGACCCGTGTCAGTCGTTTGCAAAGCGACGTCGATAGAGACAAATGGCTGTGTCATGGCTTCATTATGTTCTTCTACCGCCGCGATGTGTTGTTAAGAAGCACAGAAAGTACTCGACCATAACGCTAGAAAAGAAGGCAGCGATTCTCAAGCTAAGTGAAAGTTGCCGAACGCAAACGGAATAATTAGTCGGCGACTGTAGTTGGTATAAAAAAATCCATTATCTATCAGACAAATGGAATATAAGAGCCACTGTAAATAACAGCTGGAAAAATTAAAGCACCATCCATCAAATCAAACACAAGCACAAACACTATATTTTACACACTATTTTGAAAATTTGTCAAGAATACAACATTAAGTATGCAAGGCATAAAAAAAAACAAAAAAACATGAAAGGGTGGAAAGTGTAATTATTATCAAGTGAATCTAAATTTTATATCCTATTGTTATTAATGTGCATATTTGGTAGTGTTCAAAAGTAAAAACTACAAATATATATAAAAGAAAACTCAAATGTGGCAGAGATATTCTGTGAATAACTATATGAATGCAGAATACCCGAATTATCAAATTGACTGGAGTATATATTATACAAAAAGCTGATACGACATGTCGACTATATAAAGAGAGAATAGCAGCATACACAGAAAGGACGGTGCACTCTGAACATGTTTCTCTGAGGGGAAGTAGATGCGCATATACTTTCACAGCGCGTGATAAGTTAATAGATAATGTCCATAGAAGGAGCTTGGTGATTTACAAAGCTAAAAAAGCTTGAACCTGCACTGCAACTAAGACACAATAACGTGACATATCCTGCTCAGAAATGCCGTGCAGATCTCATTTTTATTCCAAACAATTTTTTTCTACTCCATTACAAACCAGGCGTGGCTTGTAAGGCGGCAGATGATTAGGTCCTAAGTTGCAGGCCATGCACACTCCAACTTACAACAAATTTTCCTGCTTTTCTCGAACATGTAATTTTATATGCCATCATAAGAAAAAACCCGTTTTTTTTTTAGAGCGCAGCTCTTAGGCGCCTGTTTACGGCTTGGGCGGCGTCGCAGTCGGCGTAGCTGTGAGGTCACATGACCCCCGTGAGGTCACGTGACCCCGGTGACGTCACATGACCACCGTGAGGTCACGTGACCCTGGTGACATCACGTGACCTTGGTGACGTCATGTGACCCCCGTGAAGTGAGGGGGAGGGAGGAGGAGTATACTCTCCTCTCAGTACCCTTCCCTCCTCCTCCTCAAGAGCTGCGCTCTAATTTGGCTTTACAGGGAGTTGTGAACGGCTTTCATATTTTCTTTAGAAAGAAAAAAAGGGCATAACCGCCTCCACCTCTATGAATAAATAAAGTTATTTCCATCCATCCATCCATTTAGAAAGAAGAATGTTCATTTTAGCCAATTGGTCAACTCGAGCAAATCACTGTCTATTTGGTGTGCTTTGCAAACCTTTGAGGATTTACCAAGACAGAAACCTTAATGTTAGTACTTCACATAAAACACTGTAAAATTAAGCACAAAATATAAATAGATACAAGTCAAGCTTATTCTCTGGCAAACCCCATCAAAAGTGTTCACTGCCAAATTCTAAAGTAGTAAAAATCGTTCTACTAACTGCTATTTTTCTTAAAAGTGCAGGTCACGACAAGCTGTCCAAAAACATGTTGCAAGAAACAAAGAGAAAAACTACTTACTTGGAGCCAGGCATGTAGCCAGGATTTTGTTTCGGGGGGTGCCGCACATGACAAAATGCTGTATGAGGGGGAGGGGGGAGAGGAGGTCCCAGCAAAATGGACGATTTTGGGGGGTGGGCCCGGGCCCCTGGCCCCATCGTGCCCCCCCCCCCCCCCCCTGGCTATGTGTCTGCTTGGAGCGATGAGAACTCGGGGAAACCCATCGAGAGCCCAAATCCGACTCAACGACAGTTACGCGTGTCGTTACGTGTGTCGTTACTCTTTCAACTATACACGAGTGAAAGAACGAGGGCCCTCTGTCCACAAGCACATCAGATACAGAGCCACATCCTGTTGACTTGCAGAGTTGCAGAGCTGAAAATCGGTTTTGTCCCTGTTGCGGATTCAATTTCTTACGCGTGCAAGCCCCTGTTGTGGGACGCTACTCTCTCTCCCACGGGAGAGCAGGGTCAGGAGAGGAAAGGTGGCCGACTGACCAACACCTTTAGATAAGAAAGCCTAAGTGCTGAATTTTCTTGCATCACCCAAAGAGGCAACCGTAGGGTGCAGATTGTACAAGACTGCAGTGTCATTGGTCGGCTGTACAAGACTGCGGCGTCATCGGTTCTCATTGATTGGACACAGGTTCTGGTCGAACGTTGGCGCAGCACTCATGTCCAATCTCTCTGCCCTGTGGTGGCCTTTTTTAGTGACGCAGGAAAATTTAGCACTTAGGCTTTCTTATCTCAAACAAATTTAAACTACCAAACAAAAAAGAACAAAAAAATTTTTTTTTTTTATTTGTTACAGACATGCACACACAGAAAAATCCGAGGAGATCTAAGCTCTTCTTATGAGTTGTCAATGCAAAAGCATAAATGTCGTTCTTCCGCTGCCTTAGTTCGTCTGCGGTGTACTGGCGTGGACGGCCACGTTTCACTATTGCCGAGGCAGATGGCGGAGCGTGCGCTCTCGTAAAGTGGCCGCGCCACGCTGAGCTCAGCCGTGCAACCTCTTTGGAGTTTGCCCGTACGGGCTCTGCTCCCTCTTACCGGCAGCCGGGCCGCTGCATGCGCTGTGGATGGATGGATGGATGAATGGATGAATACGGCTGAGCCCTTTGGATCGGGCGGTAGCTTACGCCACCTAGCCCACCATGGAGAGGGCGTCTCTGGCGGCGTTCCTTGGAACTACGCCGTGCGAGAGCCTATGGGAGCCTCATTCCTTGAAATGATGACTTGCTACTGACGACAAGCTTCGCTCCATTGTGACAGGGGAAGGTGCTGTTTGGTGCGGCTTCAAAAGCTGATGTTGTCGGTTCGCTCCATGAGACGACTAATGCTTTCGCGTTAAAACTTTATTGATTGGAAACCTCTGGGCTCCTTTTCGCGGGTGCGGTGCCCTGATGCCTGGCACAGCCGTCTCAAGGGCCGCCCACACTAGCGAGAAAACGCGCGTGGCACGCCGATCGCGGCAAGTAACAAAATGTCGCCGAAGCACAGTCAGCGCCACGAGCGCGTGCAGAGACACGCCCTTTATCTTCCCGCTTAACCGATTTATCGGCGCGCCGGGCGCGTTTTCTCGCTAGTGTGGGCGGCCCTTAAGTCGCCCAAACCCAACGCTGGCCCTGATTGTTATAATTGTCATGTAGACATTTTAGCCTAAAAGATCTCCATTCACTAAGCAACTCCCCATGGAGGGCTTCTTTCATGCTGGTGATGCTTGCTCTGAATGCATAATTATTTAAACAAACTTAGTGATCTCAAATTTTTTCTAGTTTGTCTATTAAATATTTATGGTGGGGGCACCAGACTACTAAGCATATTCGATGCATGGACAAATAAACTAAAAATACTAATTTTCCTTAATTTGGCTGGAAGCTTGTCTAAAGTTTTGTCGAATCAAATTAAGCGTGCCAATTGTCCTTAAGGATCTCGTTTCAACTTGGCTCTTCCACATTAAATCACTAGATAACATACCATCCAAATACTTTGCATTCGAGCTAACTTTAATTATTTCAATATTAAGCATATATCAGCAGTAATAGGACTCTTTTTTGTAGTAAACCTCATGTGAATGCACTTTTTAACATTTAAAATCGTCCTCCATTTGGCACACTTGTCAGAAATTTTGTTGGGATTGCTCTGTAAAGTATTAATATTGGTGGAGTCATTACTTATTATAAAAATAATGCAATCATTTGCAAATAGTCTAATGTTTGATTTTCCATTAATTTTATCATTTATATGGACCAGGAAAAGCAAAGAACCCAGAACAGAACCCTGGGGATCACTGGAAGTGACATTTAAATAATCAGGCTTTTCCCCATTAAGTACAGTACTACAGTGCATTGCATGTGTCCTTAGCTAGCTCAAGCCCATACATTGTGATCAAGGGAGAGTGAGCTAAGTTTACGAAATAACAATTTATGTTTACAAGGTCGAATGCTTTCCTGAAATCCATTGCTATGAGACGACCGGGGAGAACACTTAAGGACACGAGATATACAAGGCTAGGCTCAAAGCAGTTCAGGCAGACTGACTACCTCTCGAACATTGCTGGTTGCCTCCACTTCTTGATGCAACAAACTGTTTCTAGTATTTTTGATTTCAAAGTTGAGGAAAGGCCTCCGAGGAGTGAACCACGTGTCGAAGGCTGCTGCTGCCGACGAAGCAAACATTCTCTACTGTTGCTACCGAGGACGTGGTAAGGGATGCAGTCGTTGATGCGGACAATCGGCAGCGATGGCACACAACCAACTCAATCGCCGATGTAGTAAACTGCATCACCAACGAAGACCAGTGAATCTGTTGCTGATGTGAACAGCGTCGCCAATGAAAATGCGACAACCAACTCAATCGCCGATGTAAGAACGAACCAATTAAAACAAAGTCGCTGTTTCGGGCAAAGGTGCTTTCACGCAACTTTTCCTCACCAACTTGAATTGCACCGTTCATTTTGGTCGCTCGTCTTGCGGGCAACGAAGTAGCTGTATATTTTATCCATAGTGTATGAACTTGGAATGTCAACCAAATTCCTGGTCCACGATAGCGAATCGAGACCAGCAGCACTGGGGCTTGCGATTGCGGGGTTATACATCTTGTAGCGGTCGCGTGATACGCCTTTCTTGTGCACCGCCAGTCCTAACAGTTTCGACGGTAAGAAAATAAATAATTGGGATTGTAGCCGCTGCAGCAGCACACAACTAATGCGACCGCTGCAGAGGAAGATGAAAAGAGAACCGTTTTTAACAACCCAGGAGTCGGGCGTGTCTTGTCCTTATCTGTTAAATTTAGAACACAACCCCTACAATCTTAATGGCAGAGTATACATCGTGATGGCATAGTGGCCAGTTGCACTTTTGAGCACCATGGTTACCAAGAGTAATTTCGGGAAGGGTCTGTTCCAATGCAAAGAAGTGGAATTGGTAAAAAGCCATTAACTGTTTATTCAGCTCAAAATCATTAGATAAGCAGTTATTGTAAATTACTTATGTTTTGTGGTGATTTCATTTTAATTTTTTGAGAATTATTAGGGGGAATAATGAATAATGCAGATACAGTATATCGCCCTCACACGAAGTCGAGCGATCGGTTTACTCCCAATTGACAAAACTTTGTTTTCACATAATATTGCACGAAACGGCATTTTGCAAATTTACGAAATATTAAGCCTACAATTTTAGCATTGTTCATAATATATTCGTGGAGCTTGTGAAATATATGGTATGCTGTGCACTTTTTGCCCTTTCAGATGACAATGACGTCGTGTCGAACTACTTCTCACAACGCAACAAGCGTTATGGTCTCCTGTTCTTCTTCAACAAGGCAAAAGAGTCCATCCTGCCTCAGCGCATCAAGAAAGTGTTTTAGGTGGTTTGCCAAATGGTGCAGCTTCATGGACGCTTGGGTGCCATCTTCGGAGGTGTTCCCTTCTTTATGTACATACACACACTTTGACTGCTAGTTTGTGTGACTGTGAGTGTGTGCATCCATTTTTATGCAAGGTTAAATTAAAACTTGCCTGCACACTCTTGGTGTACTTCTTCTCTGGTACAAGCACAGTATAATTGTTTGCACTGGTAAACTGGATTTCATGGCCACTGAAATTTTTCGCGCATCTATGCTGGATGCCACCAAGGAGCAAGAAGGCACAGAACACAAAAGCGCCAAGAAGTTGTCAGTCTCTCCGGACTGAGTTAATCAGTGGCTTTGCAATGGAAATTTTGGTGTATTTTTACTGATGTCCGCTTTAGAACAAGCTTAGTTTCAATGAGAAGTTTATACCACACATGCAGTTGACCATACTTCTCAGTGAATATATAAAAGTCTTGCTGTTGTGCATTTTATAATTTTTTTCTCCATACAGTCATTACAATTTGGAGTGGAAATACGTAATTTCTTGTTGTGCAGTTATCTTGAAATTTTGGTGTTGGCCTCCTAACGCAATGGTGGACCTGCTGCGCCGTTTGCGCCAAACTGCTCTAGAACGAATAACGTGCTACATGCTGCTCCAAAGGCCGTACGTGTGCACAATTCGCGCCATGTCTGCGCCAAAAGGGAGCTGTTCTCGAAAAGAAAACTGAAAATCTGGCACGTGGCATTCTTGGCGATGCCACTGAGAATTAAGGAAGTTTTTTTTTTATGTTTAAGTACTATGTGCAAAAAGTAGGGATGCGCGAATATTCGTATGATCAAATAGTAGTTTCAAATGATAAGTTATATGATGTTTGCTTCAGAATAAACTGCGATATTCATACTTTTCGGATTGTTGATCTCGGCAGGTTAGCCCCTTGAGTGCGCTTCTCCTGAAGGACCGGTGCGCTGCGGAGAGGCAATACCCGCAAAGCTGACACCGCGATCTCGCGGCTCGCTTCGCCGCAGCGCCACCGTGCGCTTAGGCGAAAGACACCTTCGAAGTATATGGCACAGCGCGCGCCTGGTGTAATATAAAAAAAAAAGGAAACATTGTGATTTATAACATTTACATTGCAGTAATATCTTCCAAATTTAACTGTAGCTTATATGCGTGGGTATGTTAGGCAGCGATATTCTAACAACCTGTGTTCATTATTTGTGCTCTTTTTTAATTCAGAATTGCAGAGAATATTTCCATAGAGCAAGAGGATTTATAATCCCCCTCAATTAGGTATGGCCGGGCTGCTTTATAGGTTTAATTTTATGTCATATTTGTCATTTACTTGCCATCCCAATGTAGGCATTGGACTGTCGGAGGTTACAGTCTATAAATGTAGTTAGGTTAATTTTAAGACCTCATAAGTGGGCAGTTAGAAGCTTGGGAACAAGCTTCGCGAGTTCAGCTGAATTTTCGTTTCAGCATATTGTAACAGTAGGGGAAGGCGTGGAGAAAGCCACAACAACTATTCACTTTGAATTTGCTTCGAACCCAGAATCTCTTATTTTCACATGCCTAACAAAGAGTTATTGGTTTTTGTGCGAACGGGTGCTCACATCGATTGCAATGAATAGGTAGCGCTAGTCGTGATCGGTTAGAGTAGGTATGTGCTCCGCTTAGCTGCTCTGTGAACGGTAGCAGCTTGAATGCGACTGAGGGCAGCGTGAGACACATTCAATACGAAAGTGTCCGTTTGATGTCAAACTCGCAACCATTACGTCACCTTGATACAAACCCTACAAAGTAGCCCAAAACATCTTTTTTACGACAAACACAGACCGAAGACGCCATCGGTACTGCTAATAGACCTATAGCTAAATTACCCAAGCATAAGAATGCAGGGATTCGTGTTCCGAAGCACCCCATGTGCTGGCCTGAGCAGTAGTAACTTTTCTAAAGCAAATGCCTAAAACAAATTGCAGTTTGCACTCTTGTTCGTCAACGTTTTATTTTGGTTATTTACTTCTAATCTTTTATACGGGGAAGGCGTGCGCATGTGGCCCATGGAACACCGATTCCTGCATTCTTCTTGATGCTTGGGTAATTTAGCAATAGGTCCATAGGTTAATTGAGACATCTGCCGCATTACCGGCGTATGATTGTTAAATAAATAAATAAATATCCGTAGTCGCCAGATGCCCTGTATGTATGACACTTTAAATAGTCTCCCAACACTCCAACAACTGCAGTTTTTTCCACAGGCTAACTTTTAAAGAGATCGTACGAATGTTTCTGACATGAAAGTTCAAAATTGTCTGCTCCAAAAGTGGGAAACTCTGCTCCAAAACCCGTTGTTCCCTGCTACAAGAGCTGCTCCAAATTACCACTTGTCAGTTCCACCACTGCTAACGAATTAGATCTATTAGTTATACATTTGTGGAGAACGTTTTTCTAATGCGCTTTTGGCTTCTCTCTGCTTGCTTGTACCATTATTAAACCGGTCCCTTACACACCAGATTCTTTAGATGGCTTTTCATCTCTAGTTTTGCAATTCGACCTAATATTTTGTAGGTCAGCAGCAGCTATGGCATGAGGTGTCTCAGCAGCTGAGACCCCATCTGACATTTGAACGAGGATCACCGAAATGAAAGCAGAAACCACAGCGTGGGATTTGTTTATCAGTGTTTACTCATCCCAGGTTAGCTCCTCTTCCGATAAGGAGCACCATGTCAGTATTGCAAAAGACTTCGTTTCAGCAATGCTAATGTGTGCAGGTGGCTCTGCACCCAGTTCCTCCTGTGGAGCTGGAATGATTGGTTCGTCTTTTTTGAAGCATTTAATAACTGAAACAAAGAAGAAAAAGCTTTGCGTGAGGCACCAGATAGGAATTGTTTCCTTGACATGCACGTGTCTACTCACTCCAGAGATAGAAAACAGACCTTAAATTACGAAAGTAAAAGGGGCTATGTGAGCTCCGCCTTAGTGCGAGTTTATAAGTATACACAATGACACATTCATAATGTACATGTATACGACAGTAACGGAAGTGCTGTGCCATTTGCGCGAAATTTAGCTCTGAACGAAAGTCTGCTACATCTAGCTCCAAAAAGTAATTTTCGCTAAGAATTGTGCCACACTTACGCCGAGAAAAGCTTAAACAAAGCAAAAACAAATATTTTATTATTGGTTGGCTCCAATAGTTAGAGAAGTAGGAGGAAAGGAAAATGGTACAAATACCTATTTCACCGCGTATCTACTCAACCTATATTTCGTTTCACCTTCGGTCAGAGCACAGTCGAAGGCTCGAACACACACACTAAAAGCGAAAGTCACGGGACATACGCTGCACTTGATTTGGTTTAGCCGATAAAAGAACACATGCAGAAAGACTACGAATACCATGATTTTGCGCCTTGACGCTGTTTGATTGCTTTCATCGGTTCGTGGCGTCGGCTGCATGTTGGCGATGTCAGAAGCTAAAAGTCACGAGCAAAGTTGTTAAAATTATTGTAGGATGGTGGCCACTGTGTCGAGACAGAACCAGGGTCTTCTACTTTCGATGGGATCACTTGATTATCACGACTGTCACATGCCCCCGTGCCGTGGTTACAGTGTACCATGGCACTTGCGCCGCTCGCGTCAACCAGCGCGTGCGCGTCGAGCTCCACCGCTTTTCACAAGAGAGTACTAGGAACAGCGGCTGACAAGGGGGAGCGCCTGGGTAAGCGCGGTGGGCTCGGAAATTGTGCTTAGTACTATTGCAGGTCGACCTAATATTAGAAAGCTATGCCAAGAGAAAAGAACGCGGGTCTATATTTGCATAAACAGGGTAGTCAAAGCAGTGGCGTCACTAGGTGGGGGACAAGGGCGGCGAGCAGACGGACCGCCCCGGGTGCAGCGCTCAGGGAGTGCAGCTGGGCAGTGAAAGGAAGAGGGGGGGGCACCGCCCTAGGTACCGCTGACCTTAGCGACACTACTGAGTCAAGGTAGTTCCCGTGCACCTGTCGAACGAAAGAGCAGCGAACTTTGACTTCTATCCAGTTATACTTTTCTATTATTGACAGCGTCAACATATGCACTCAAAAAAGGAACGGAGCTTTCGTACACATCAATTGTTAACAATTCTCCAGCTTGCCGTTTCCCCAGATTTTGAATGTTATCACTCTGGAGAGAAGAGAGGCCATTTTAAGCAGTCTCTTTAATGTTCAAAGATGGTCGCCTCTGTGTGCTGGCAGATTTTTTGTGAGAGCTGCTCGAAGGGAGGTTAGGCGCGGCTATTCCTCGTTTTAACCGGAACTCTCCACCCATTCCCACCGCGTTCGCCTATCATTGGAGGGCCAGGAAACCCCGACGTCAAGGAAGTTATGTTGTTGTATGCAGTGGCGTCACTGGGATCAGCGGCACCCGGAGCGGTGGCCCGCCGTGACACCCCCCGCCCCACTTAGTGACGCAACTGGCTGCACGATGGGGGTTTATACACCGAATGAAGTTACTCTGCCTTCAAATGAGACCATGCTCCTCGTGTCACGCACATGCGCATCAATCAGCTGGCCATGACACCGCGCACCGGGTGGGCACTCACTCGTTTTCCACAGCAAAGGAAAGACGATGTAGAGAAGGAACGACAGGGTAAGGATGGACATCTTTAGGCCGTCTTCTGTTCTTGGAGTGGGGGCGATCCGAATGAATGGTCAGGTAAAATCAGGCAGCTGGGATCGATGCCATAAAGGCACTTCCTTAACCTTGCGAGGGGCTCTTTTGAAAACCTTCGCCACTGTAACTGGTCAAATTTTTAATAGAACCAAGACTGAAATCGGAAAAGAAAAAAAAAATGTATAGATATATACATTTATATATAAGAAAAGACACCACGAACAGTGTCAATGACCGTCAAATATTTAACCTGGGGCTCGGTAATGGTGCCGTCTCGGAACTGCACTACGGCATCGTTATCATTATTTGTAAATGTATGTTTTTAATCCAATCCAGATTTTTTTTTTTAAAGATGACTGTTACATACTTATTGCATTCACTGTGTTTATTGGGTTCAATGTGTTTATTGGGTTCAATTTTGAAAGTAGTCCTTATTAGAGCCTAAAACAGTTAATACAATTTGCAAGAAGGCTATGCGGGCTCTGAGTTATTGATCGATCATTTTCCGCTTTTATACGCCCTGATTGCGGAACTGGATGCCGAATAAGCGCGCCGCGAGTCGTGCTCCACAAAGGCTGCGTGTACATGGATGCGCCCAGAGCCATTAAGTGAGCCAAGATTAGAGCATCGAATCGAAAGGTGACCAATCACGTGCACCCAATCATCCTCTCTATTCCTCTTCTACCCAATCACTTTGGTTCAACCTGGATTCGACGCGCTATGGTCGCATCAACGTAAGAGTAGCCAATGACGCATAGAAGAGTGACGGGGACGTCACTTCGTCATGATCGCACCTTTGAATTACGTCATAGCTGACATCATCATTAGTGGTCGCTGACAGGGTTAGAACAGCAGGGTCGCTAAACTCGTCAAACACAAAGTGGGGACCGAAGCCTCGGAGCGTGCTGATTGGATGCTGTCTGGATTGTCCCTAGGCGGCCTGTAAATACTCTGAACGTTCTGGTCGCAAGACCGTCGTTTGTGGAAGTTATCGGTGACGACAAAGTGACGCTTCACAACTGTGGGAAGGAGTTATTGGAGGCCAAAATCTTCGCTTCGGAATCGAGGCGAATATTGAACTTCGTGATATTGTGGGGCCGCGCGCGGTGTACGCGGTTTTAAGGTACGTTTATATTTTAACGTAATGTACGTCGATGCGTGCGGCGTAGCGCAGCGCATACTGATGCTGATTGGTCGCAGATATCGAGTTCCTGGTCGCTGGCCAATGAAAGGCGCGCGTTCTGCGCTACGCTGCGTCCACTGCGCTCAACGTCGGAGTGTGTAAACAGTCCTTTAAAGGGGCGGTGCAACAATATTCAATTGGAATGTTTTTCAGTTTACACGAGCTTACTGGCACTAGTGGGACTCAAGGATACTCGCAAGCTACGCCACTGACCAAGGAATTCTTTTGTTGCGCTGTAATTTCGACGACAAAACCGAGTGTTTTCATTGAATCTCTCCTTCGCAAAACCTGATGACGTAGCTGGGCAGTAGCAGTACCGCCCAGTGACGATATTTGAATGCGGCTCGTAGATTGGACCCGAGCATGGCGTGGACACTCGATTTGGGTTCGTGATAATTACTAGCTCGAGAAGCATTCGGGTAGTGTCCTGTGTCCAATCGCTGCAATGACGGCAACAGCCGAACCATAACAACGTCTGGAACTCGGCGCGTGTCCTGTGCCTTGCCAACCCCAGCGTGTGGTTATGATCAACATTGGCGGCACATAAACGGCTCCGGATCACGTGGCCGCTTGTTCTGGCTGCGAATTGAGGGGGTGAATTCTGCTCGTTTTTCTTTATTTTTTTCTGCGACTTCAATTGCGTGTGGGGAAAAATGAACGGGTATTTCACAGGTCGTTAACATCAGGGATCCGTTCTAAGCGATATTTGCGCAAGATACAAACATCGTTGCATCGCCCCTTTAAAGCTCATATTCTGTCACTGTCAACAACGTTACCGGGGCCACCAAGAGGCGGTGTGGATAGTGACGTCGGTAGTGTTTGTGAGGTGAGGGGGCGACCGCGGTTGTCGAGCTTTGAGTGTGGCGGCATGCCCCCACTAGTTTAAAACCTGTGGGGGCGATTGCCCCCACTGCCTCCCCCCTCCCCCTCCCCCCCGGTTCCGGAGCCGCTGGTGATGCACGTTAAAAACCCCACTGCACTGGATAAATTTCGCATCTACAGCTAAGAGACCGGTCACCCGTTGAGGCGTACCGACATGAAGGCTGCATAAACATACAAGCAACACAATGTTTTTAGTGCGTGAATTTTTGTCACTAGAATTAAACGTCGTTGCTATTCGAATGAGTGTGGTCGTCCCCCCTCCCCCCCTGCTTCCCCCTTTATGCCCTTTTAACCCTCTTTTCACGTCACTTGGGGGGGGGGGGGAGGGGGGGGGGGGTAAATCACCTCCCCTCCCCGTCCCCCTGTTTCGAAGCACCTGCTTAGAGGTGTTCCAACTGAGAGACGACGGAACAGAGAAGCCTGCAATTTTCGAAATAATGGTTTTAGAGGTTCTTGAATTACTACCGTTCGCGTTCCATGAACTCACGAGCGGCCATGCCAGGCCAAAGCGAGAGGATCGTGCCAGGGCTCGTAGTGTGCAGGCGCGTGCAGTGACGTCCTTTTACACTTCCCGCCCTTGACCCCATCCCTGCCCGTTTCGATCTGGATGAGCATCGTACCGGCGTGCGGTCGTGTAGCACTACTGCGTGATCACGTTAAAGACCTTAGGCTAGCAATCGTACTGCTCCGGCAAAATTGCTCATCTACAGTGTAGACCAGTGTCACCCCATCCTGGCAGATTGACCTTACGCTGTATAAACACTGAACGTCCAATTTGACTTTTGATTTGACTTTGACGTCAGGCTCAGGATTATCAGCTGTGAACGACAAATTCGATGTTGCGTGTTCGAATTGACGGTGATAAGTATGATTACAAACTATAGAAGCTTGGAGTCATCGTGTTCTTAAAGGGATACTACAACGAAATTTCGGCGCTTATTATTTTGTCTATACGTGTTCAAAGGAGCAGTATCATATCGGACACACCAATATCTTGTTAAAAAAGACACGAAAAGGAATTTCAAAACTAAATAAACGAATAGTAAAGAACACCTGGTGGATGTCGCTAAAGCTTCGTTTGCAATGCACGTCTAGGAACCTTGACAGGTAGCGACGATGACTGTC